GCTATTTATACATGACATACTCCAGTGATAATTACCTTTTTTTTAAACCTGCAAAAATACAGAAAGATTGATTTTAGGACATAAATAAAAATAAACTAAGGTTTAATTTTGCAAAAAATTATAAAAGGCAAACCAAAGCAATGTCAGATGAGGCCCAAAGCAAAAATCAAATCACTTGTTGGGACTCTAAGGGAAGAGCTTGGGGGAAGATTTGGGATGCTAGGAGTGTCATCGATGGCCAACTCAACTGCTTTGCTTTATAAACCAGAAATCACAGGTTCCATGAGTCACCTAAGATAACCAGTGGTTTGTGGCAGAGCCAGAGATTGGGCCCAGGTTTCCTAATTCCCACTATTTTTTCCTTCTTGACTCCTACTATTTTTCTTTCTTCTGTAACATGTACTAAAGGATGGTTATTATTCTATGTTTTGTTTTGTCTTGGTAAGAAGTAAAATAAATAGTCCCTTGGGTCTCTGCAGTGGGGAAAAAGTCACCATCGTGAAGGAGGAAAAAGGGGCAGAAAAAGGAGCCTTTGTGTTTGTGTGTGTTCAGGGAGGTTTCCTGTAAAATGTGCTTAGTTTGTGATGTAGTGATTTAGGGTGGGGTTGACCTAGAGCAGTTTTTGCCCTAGTTACAGAGGTTGTGGAAGTCCTGTTGCCTGTTGAGTCGTGCCCAACAAAAATCTTGTCGAGCAGCCTCTGCACAGCACTTTGTACACAGTGATTGGGGGATAAGTGCTTAGATGAGTTGAAGCGATAGTGGCAGGAATCATAAATCAGATTTAATGCCGTCCTGATAAAGAATTGTGTATTGTCTCCACTCTGACATTTGACGGATACTGTGCATGAACTGTCCGCCGTGACACATAATGAAGAACTTGATTTCGGCTTACTTGTTTCCTAGGAACATGTGTATTCGGAGAACTCCCCCACCCCCACTGGGAGTAAATATGAGAGAGGGTTCCTACACCACACACTTGCCATGCTTCAGGCAGTTTGTGTGCCCCAGCCATATGCTGTGAGATTTGTCATTAGCCTTACCACACCTGAGACTTCCTCTTGGCAGCTGTCCTGTGCTTCTTCCCCAAAAGGAGCAACCCAAAACAACTAACAAAAACAAAGGTTCCCTGCCTTCCTGTCTATAACTTCTGAATCCGTAACTATCTTTACCTCCTTCTCTTCTGTCTCTCCCACCTCCTGTTTAAGGCACTTCTCTACCTCTTTCCTGAACCCCCCCCCTTTGCCCCTCACTGAAGAATGCTCTTTCTGCAGGTGTCTCCCTTCCGTAATCTCCTTCCCCTCAGTATGCAAGTCCCTTTTCCCTGTAAGTCCCCCACTAGGCAGAGCATCTTTCCTTCTTCCTTCTATAACAGAGTCTCTTGCATATGAAGGGTGGTTGTCTTGCAGTCAGTCAGTTTCCTTACCTTTTCTTCTCTCTCACCCTCTCTGGTCAATATTCTACTTGAAACTGCACTTTCAGCTTCTTAACTTGCTGTTCCAAAGGACCGTCTCCATGCCCATCTTACTTGACTTTTCTGTAGTCGTTTACATTGCTGCTTCCTTCTCTCTGGCTCTTCTGGCTGCTCTTACCTTCTTTGGCTTCCTTATTGTGACTTGTCCCTTCTGTGCCATCCTTCCTCAAGAATCTGGCTGCCTCCTTTTCTTTTCTTTTTTTTTTTAAGATTTTATTTATTTATTAGAGAGAGAGCACAAGAGGGGGGAGTGGGAGAGGGAGAAACAGACTCCCCGCTGAGCAGGGAACCCGATGTGGGACTCGATCCCGGGACTCCAGGATCATGACCCGAGCCGAAGGCAGTCTCTTTAACCAACTGAGCCACCCAGGCGCCCCTGGCTGCCTCCTTTTCTCATTAGTGTTCCCTGGGTTTTTTCCTCTGTGTTCATACGGTAAGAGAGTGCTGCTCTGATTTAACTTTCCAGCTCAGATTTCTTTCCTGAGTACCAGATTTCACCTCACTGGGGATCCTGTAGGTACCTCAGATTCAGCGCGTTCAAAGCTCTACTGTCCCTCAGTCTCTTCCTCTGTTCCTGATTTCATTATCCATCTAAATCAGATACTAAAAACCTTGGTGTCATCCCTCATTTCTTTTTTTTTTTTTTAAAGAGCTTTTGTTTTGTTTTGTTTTTATTTATTTATTTGACAGAGAGAGACACAGCGAGAGAGGGAACACAAGCAAGGGGAGTGGGAGAGGGAGAAGCAGGCTTCCCGCCGAGCAGGGAGCCCGATGTGGGACTCGATCCCAGGACCCTGGGATCATGACCTGAGCCGAAGGTAGATGCCTAACGACTGAGCCACCTAGGCGCCCCCCTCCCTCATTTCTTCTTTGTATCCCTTAGTATAGTATTACCAGTCACTTGTTTCTTTTCCATCCTGAGTCGGCCACACCATCAGGGGTGCTGCTAGTGCTGATGGCTTTTATTGGTCTTTTTTTTTTTCTTTACTGGGAAATCTTCTCTCTCTTTTTTTTCCTTTTTAAAGATTTTATTTATTTATTTGACAGAGAAAGACAGTGAGAGCGGGAACACAAGCAGGGGGAGTGGGAGAGGGAGAAGCAGGCCTCCCGCTGAGCAGGGAGCCCAATGCGGGGCTTGATCCCAGGACCCTGGGATCATGACCTGAGCCGAAGGCAGACGCCTAACGACTGAGCCACCCAGGCGCCCCTTTACTGGGAAATTTTCTCTTTCTTCTGTAGCTCACATTTTCCCACTGTCCACACCAAATGGCTCTGGCTTTGATTCTCCTAAATGAGCGCATAAGGCCACAAGCCAAACTATTTCAAGATGAAGTAAGGTGTCAGGTATAAAATGCTACAGGGGATTGAGGAAGGTGAAGCCCAAGAAAGAAAATACTGGATTTGATGATTGAGGTGGTGTCTGACCCTGGGGGAAGTTTTGTAGTATAGTGAAGACTCCCCACACCCGTTTCTCCTTTTGTGTACCTTTGTCTGAGATAGCATTCAAGTAGTATCCTTCTAGTCACTGAAACTTTGTTATCAGGGTCCTTCTTCTCCTTTGCTCACTTTATCCAATAATAAATTTTGCCAGTTGACACTTCAGTCTTCTCTCTCATTTGTGTCCCTTTGATTTTTTTCCTCCTTGAATTTGAATCTTCATAAATCATCTTTTTGTTATCATTCACATTTAACTGATCATCAGGTTATGGTGGTTCTTCATAATCAAGTCATAAATCTGTCCCTTCTTTTTTTTAAATATTTTTTTAAAGATTTATTTATTTTAGAGTGAGGAAGTGAGTGGGGGGAGGGGCAGAGGGGGAGAATCTTCAAGCAGACTCCCCACTGGGCGTAGAGTCTGATGCGGGGCTCGATCCCACTACCCATGAGATCATGGCCTGAGCCAAAACCAAGAGTTGGAACTTAACCAACTGAGCCACCCAGGCGCCCCTTAATATTTTATTTAGTGATGTCTATACCTAACGTGAGACTCAGACCCACAACCCCGAGCTCAAGAGTTACACACTCCACTGACTGAGCCAGCTAGGCGCTCCCCTATAATCATCTTAATTGGAAAATGCAGTGGACAGTTTTTAGTTCTTTGTCCTATTTTATCATTCTTAACACCATTCATCACTCTCTCCTTCATAACCCTCTTCTCTTGACTCTTGAGACTCTGTTCTCCTGCTTTTCTTGCCATGTCTTTGGTGGCCTTTTCTTGGTCTCCTTTGAGGGCCCCCAAATATATTTGTTCTCTGACTTGATCTCTCATGACCATGTCTGGGCAATCTCAGCTATACTCATGATTTCAACTACCACCCATCTGTTGACTTGCAAATCTTTGTCGTTAGGGTGCACTTTTCCACTGAGCCCCAGATCTGTATTCTTCATTTATTTACCAGGTACTTCCACTTGGAGGTTCCACAGAACTTTAAATGCAGTGGATTTGAAAGGGGACTCATTATCATCTTCCCCAGACTTCTTTTTCATTTTGTCTTGATGAGGGGTACCATCAGTTGCTCATCATCTAGATAGGACACCTTGGGGACATTAATGCCTCCTTTCTCACTGTCCCCATTCATTAGGTCACAAATCCTACTGAGTCTACTGCCTAAATTCCTAAATCTCTCAGGTCTGCCTTCATGTTTCTGTCCTCACTGCCTTAGCTTGGATCCTCATTATTTTCTTGCCTCATCAGTGCCTTTGTCTCTTCACTGCCCTCCCTTTGTGCAGTTGTGTCCCCTTCTTCCTCCCTACTTCCAAATCCCATATTCAGCTGAAATTTGAGTGCTTATTATATCTTACTTACATGTGAAATGTTGTGCATGCATCTTACTTAACCACCACATTAAATTACCATTCTCCCTTTTACTTTGGAAGAGAGTAAGCCCCGGTCTCACAAATACAAGTGGTGGGAGAGCAATTTGAACCCAGGCCTTATGCTCCAGAGCCATGAACTTAACCATTTCACTGAGAACCTTTCATTGGCCACTGCTCTTTCCATATTCTAGTCTTTGGAAGCAAGTCACTATTCAAGGTAGAAGGTTAAGGTCCATCTCCTGAGAGGGAACTATTGACATTGATTATTTGGAATTCTATAAGGAAGACTTATTTCTTATTTATTTACTCAATCATTTATGTTTTATAGATGTGTTTATTTCATACTGGGGTTTATAATTCAATACTATGTTACTTATTTAACCAGTTCTCATTTTTAAGATGTTCAAGTTATTACCACCTTTTTGCTATTATAAAGCCTGATGAATGAATATTTTCTTAGAAGTCTTGGCATGCTGTTTGATGGTTTCTTTAGATATATTCCTCAAAGTAGGATTGTTGGGTAGGTGCATTTAAGTCTTCTGTACACATTTCTGAGGTGGGGTTTTCACATAAGCATCTGTTTTTATATTGCTGTCTTTCTAGGAAGTTACTCTAACACCCTTGAGATTTTGCATCCCTCTTTGGGATTATAAATAGTTCATCTTTAAAGCCAGGAACTCAACTAGGCACTTTGATTTATTTACCTGTGTAGAGTATTGTGTCAAAGAACGCACTGCAATATCGGGGAAATTCCCAGCATGACGCCCAGGAGTTTCTGCTGTGGCTTCTGGACCGAGTTCATGAAGACCTCAATCATGCTGTGAAGCAGAGCGGCCAGCCTCCTCTGAAGGTGAGGGTGTGCACCCTGCTGGGGCAGCCAAGGAGCCATGAGCAGGGAGCTCCGTGGTGGTTTAGTGAATGGAGTGAGTGTAGATTCTTTTCTCAAACCTCCACTGAGGAGTTGTTGCAGTTTGCATTTAGTTAATATAGTGAAATCAACTAAGCTCTGGGTGAGTATAAAATTCAGGGATACTTAGAGGAGTTTTCCCGTGTTTACTGCTTGCTGGCAGCATAAGAGAGTTGCTGTGTCTAAGGAACTTAGAGTGTAGTGAGAGGGGACATATTTGCATGTATGACTAGTTTTAGACTACAATCAGGTGATTCCAGTTCACTAAGCTGTTTTTAAAGCAGAAATTGGTTTCTTTTGCAGTGAGACATGTAGCCTTGTAGCTCACTGAAATGAATACACACTCAAAAAGGAAATGAATGGAGGTCTTTGCTGTTACAATTGGATTTGAGTATAGGAACTGAACCCCTAGAATATTCTACCAAGAAACGGTGATTCATCCTCAATTTTTATGCATGCAACCTTAATATGATTGATAAAATGATTTATATAATGGAAATAATTAACACCAAAGAGTTGTTATTCTCTTGCCACTTTTAAAGTTTTTGTTAATTCTGCACTGTATCTCAAAATTTCAGTCTGTGGTTTTGTAAGGTGTTAAGTAATTCTGATTCAAGGTCCGTCTGTGCCCGGACACTCTGTACTGTCTTAGGACCATGTGCTTGTGGCTGGCTCTCCCACCAGATTGAGATGTACTTAAGGTCAGGCACTATGTCTTATTTATCTTTGTGTCTTAATGCCCTTTGCGGGGCTCTCTGCAGGTGCTCAGTGACTAATTATTGGGTGGGTGGACATGAAAAGGCCAATTCAGTATGCCGTCGAGTGGCTGGGCATCCCAGCGAGCAGTGCAGCGGGCAGGGGCTTGCGCAGGTGGGCACCGTGGCTAGGGTTATTTCCTGGAAGAGGCCAGAGGGAGACCTTCGGAGCTGGAGGGAGATGGGAGCACCCTGTGGAAGGACTGCCGGACTGCCTGGCGGGGTGGAGAGACCAGCACAGGCACGGTCTGTGGGAGAGCCTGTGACATGCGTCCTCGTGACCCTGTCCTGGCTGCTGCGTTCCGATGCCTGGAGCATATCCTTTTCACGGGAACATCCAGACCCGATGTACCGCTTGTAGAGGAAGTCAAGGACATTTGTGACTGTTTCAGGTTCATCTTCCATCAAGAACTGGTACTTCTAACGTGTGAAATTGTACTTTCCCTTTTTTTAGCCACCGTCAGAGACTGATATGATGCCCGAGGGACCATCTTTTCCTGTCTGTAGCACTTTTGTACAAGAACTTTTTCAAGCCCAGTACAGGTATGAGCATATCAAATTGTCTCTTCCGTGGTCTGCTTGACATAGCTCTAGATGATCTTACTGTGCGTGTCTTTCGTTTTTGTTTCTGAAGATCTTCTTTGACATGTCCTCACTGTCAGAAGCAGAGCAACACTTTTGACCCTTTCCTCTGCATTTCTTTGCCAATTCCTCTACCCCACACAAGGTAAGAACAGATATAATAAAATTAAGACTGTACATTCCTGTGTATTCCTTTCCTCTGTAGGCTCCTGTTAGGGCTCCTTACTTATTGAGACAAGTAATGGGATTAGTGATAACTTGAATACAGGCATTGTAAAAACCTTACAGAAGTCTATAAATCCTGGTCTGAATGTGCAGGGTGAGCAGGCACATGGGGCAAGCGTCTTTTTACAGTCCCTGTGGTTGTCGTCTGTTCAGTTGCTCATCCACTGATATAGTATGGGGCAGGGGGAGGGTTGTTGAGTGCCTTCTAGATTTTCTAGAGACTTTATGTTGCACTTTTAATTAGTTGCTTTATTTGAACTGTTTTTCAAAATTTTTGAGAGTTAATGCTGTTGTAAAGAACATTCAAACCACAGAATCAAGTGTTGATATGTTATATTTTGTTTGACTGCCTTTTCCAGAGATGTCTTGATTATTGTTTTCTGGTTCCACTTAGGTCCAGATGAGATTTTTTTTTTCCCCTTTGGCTTCCAAATAAAGGTGTGGGTTAGCTTCAGTTTTGTGTTAATTTCAGATCAGGTTTGTTTTGCCTCTGTATTTTAGTTGAAGTAAGTGCCTAATGAGAAGATCTGACTTTGATCTGCACAGGCCTCTCTATATTACCGTAGTGTATCAGGGGAAATGTTCTCACTGCATGAGGATTGGTGTGGCCGTGCCTCTGTCTGGGACTGTCGCCAGGCTTCGGGAAGCAGTGTCTATGGAAACAAAGATCCCCACTGATCAGGTAATAAGCCTGCTCAGGCCAATTACATATGAGCCATAAAAGTGTTGCTTTCTGTTTTTTTGGAATTTTCTAACAGTCCTCTGCCAAGTATGGTTAGATAGAAATGTAAAACCAGTTGTGTCTGTATTGAGGAAAGAAAAATCAAGACCCAAAGAGGGAAAATGTACATCAAAACTTCTCATGCTTCATTTAATTGTACATATATTTTTGAAAGCAAAGCTGTGACTTGACACCAAGACCTTCTTTTAGCTTTGTTTATAAAGTATAATTACTCAGCCTCTCTTAAACTAGCCTTATGGATGCTTATGTGGGCAATAGGAAGAGCATCCCTGTGGTATTTGAAGGTCACAGAGGCTTAGAAAACTCCACTAGTGGCTCTTGAAAACCCCTTTCCATTGTGGTGATAAGAATGGATATCTTCTTGCTGGTACAGTACATACAGATGCTCAGTATGGTTCGCTTCCTGCTTAAAGCTGGGTCAGAGACTCACTTCATTTAGATGAAGTGCCCCTTCACAAGGAATGTTGTGCCCCTTCTGCCTTCTTTTTTTGGGTAAATTTTTGATAAGTAGTTATATTTAAATGGACCCAAAATACTTTTAGCCTATTTGTTACTTGACATTTTTGCATACAGTTTTTACTCAATTCACTATTATGATTTTATTTAGAAAAATGTTTCTTATTTTAGATTTACTAAGAAAGATGATTCTGTGGTAGAATAACTTTTCCCTAGGTAGCTTCTGGAAGCTGCTATATAATCACATGATTAATAAAGGTGTTTTGTACGTTGGCCTCATGTGGCTTCATTTGGGAAGTTACCACAGTAGAACAAATACAACTAGTGGTATTACCTTAATACAGCTAATATCTCATATTTTCATAGGCCAAGTACTGGTGTGTTGATAAAATGTTCATATTCTTCCTTACTGTCAAGTGCTTTTTGATTCTTTTTTTCCCTTTAGGATGAGGGGTAAGACTGAAAGAGGGAGGCAGGCTGAGCTGTGTGTGCAGGGCAGATCTGGTTGTATCTTTATTTTATTTTTTAAAAGATTTTATTTATTTGACAGAGAGAGACACGGCGAGAGAAGGAACACAAGCAGGGGGAGTGGGGGAGGGAGAAGCAGGCTTCCCGCAGAGCAGGGAGCCTGATGTGGGGCTCGATCCCGGGACCCTGGGATCATGACCTGAGCCGAAGGCAGACACTTAACGACTGAGCCACCCAGGCGCCCCCTGGTTGTACGTTTAAAGCTTCCAGTGCTCTCGGGCTCTTTTTGCATGTGGTTTAAATGGCTGATAGAATTACAAGTTTGTTTTTGACCTTAGCTTGCTGGAGAAAATAAATTATCTTGCATGTTCACCTGCAGAAAAACAATGTGGTTATTAAACTCATCAGAAGAAAAATGTGCTAGGGATATTTTTCTTGGACTATTTGTGGAATGTGCCACCAGCCTTTTCACCTCACAGACTCATAGTATGTTTGCATTAGCAGAGGGAATTTTAGGGGTCCCTTCCAACCCCCTCATTTGAAGGAGGCCCAGAGAAACCATGTGACTTGTTCAAGAGCATAGGGCTGGTTGGTGGCAGGCTGGGACTGGAACCTCTTCATGCCCAATCCAGTGCTTTTTCTCTAGACAGTGCTGCTGAGCATGTAATGAGCATCTAAATGTTTCCATTGTTTTTTTCCCCATCTTTTTTGTTTTGTTTTGTTTTATTGTGAAATACTCAGCCATTTCAGAAACAGGACTTAGAAAGTGGAAGTATCTTGTCCTAAGTATCTTAGAACTAAGAGTTACTAACTCTAATACTGTGTTGTATATTCACTCCTATTTTTTCCTGTGCATATACTACATTTGTTATTTTATAAAAATGGAATCGATTAACACATTATTCTTTATGTTACATCTTATTTAACTAGGAGATCTTTCCATGTTGGTGCAAATACATTTGGCTCATTCTTTGTAATTACAGTAGGACTATAATATATTTAACTAGTTCCTATTGTTGGACATTTGAGTTGATTTCATTTTTTTTCCTATTACAAAATCCGTGGTTGTATGACATTTTAACCTGAAACAAAGAAAAGTTACTGATGTAGGAGAAAGTCTTGGAATCAGATGTGGACTCTGTGCTTGCTGTGAGACTGAATAGTCAGATACTCGTTGGCAAGTTTCCCACCTCTCTTCAGTTTCTTCCCCTTGTGAGACAAGGGGCTTATACTTTGTCATTTCCTGGGGGCTCTTCTTCATGAAAACTTAGAGGAACTCTGGATTCAGTGCCATAGCATTCTGAAATTTACAGAGGATATCGTGCTTCTACAATTCGCTTACTAAAGGCAGATAGTGTGGGCTCCGTGACATGTTTCAGAGCCCTCTCACGTCCCCGCAAGCCCTGACGGGCTGGAAAAGCTCATGGTAGAATCGGGAGATCAGTTCCTATTGGCTTTCCAGTTACCCAACTGTTTACATTTTTCCCATTTTTAGATTGTGTTAACGGAAATGTACTATGATGGGTTCCATCGTTCCTTTTGTGACACTGACGACCTGGAAACAGTCCATGAAAGCGACTGCATTTTTGCCTTTGAGACTCCAGAAATATTTAGGCCTGAAGGAATTCTCAGTCAAAGAGGTAAATGAGCATCTGTTTCCATAAGGGTTTGCAGATTTCACAACTGTCTGCCCTTTGAGGTGTCTATTATATGATGGCATACTTTTTTAAATTATGGTAAAATACACATAACACTTATTTTTATGATGGTATAAATTCTATGGTAACATTTCTCTGGAAGAAGGCAGTTCTCACTGTTTCAGGCAAAGATATTTCCTTAGTTTCTAAGCCCCTATCTGAGGCTCAGAACTGACTGAATCCTTCCTCCTTTTCTTTTAAATGCTTTCTTTTTTTTTTTTTTAAAGATTTTATTTATTTATTCATGAGAGACACAGAGAGAGAGAGGCAGAGGCAGAGGGAGAAGCAGGCTCCCCAAGGAGCAGGGAGCTCGACGTGGGACTCGATCCCAGGACCCCGGGATCATGACCTGAGCCGAAGGCAGATGCCCAACCATCTGAGCCACCTAGGTGCCCTGTTAAGTGGCTTCTTAAGCATCTTATGACAGCATTTGGGAAGATGCATGATGCCATAGCTGCCTTTTTTTTTTTTTTTTTTTTGCATTTTGTTACCTGCTTTGATGCTTAATTTCTGAATTCTAACTCTCTGGTATAAAATGTTTTCTTGATACCTTGCTTTTAAGAAATTTGCATCAATAGGCAGCAAAAGAAAGTACAGCTGTGGACAGTGCTGTTCCTTTTCCTATGATTTGGGCTGTGATTTAGAACTTAGCCTGTCTCTCAACTGTGCTTGGAGGATTTGGGGGCTATTTCTGATTTTGAAAGTTGCTAGGCAACTCAAACTTTGTTCTTGGCCTTAGTGTTCTTCATGGTTCTGGGGCTTCTGTTCTTTTTCTTTACTCCAGTGATTATTAAAGCTTGAGAGGCACCTGGGACATGGTTAGAAATGCAGATTCTTGGACCCCACTCCAGACCTACTGAACGAGAGCCTCTGGGGGTGGGGCCCAGCATGCTGTTTTTCACAGGTGATTCCAATGCACACCAAAGTTCGAGAACTGCTGAACTGAGAACCTAGTCCCAGCAGTGTCTTTCTACTGCCATGATTTTAGAACTGAACCTCCCTGCTCATCCTCTTTTCTTCTCCTTCCATACCCTGACTTTTCTTTTTCTTTTCTTTTTTTTAAGATTTTATTTATTTATTTGACAGAGAGACACAGCAAGAGAGGGAACACAAGCAGGGGGAGTGGGAGAGGGAGAAGCAGGCTTCCAGTGGAGCAGGGAGCCTGATGCGGGGCTCGATCCCAGGATTCTGGGATCATGACCTGAGCTGAAGGCAGATACTTAACGACTGAGCCACCCAGGCGCCCCTCCATTCCCTGACATCTAACTGTCCATTGGAATCTCTGCTTAGAAGTCCTGCGTTGTCTTAACACTCAGCATTTCTTAGACCTGATCCTCCTGCGTTTCTTCTCTGGAATCATGGTACCACCATCCTTCTTTTCACCCAAGGTGGATCTAAGCACTTCTCCCTCAAAATTCACATAGAAATGATTAAACACTATGCAGTTTTACTCCTCATCCTCTTGCCACTTGTACAGCTCAGACCAGTCTCAGCTGGGCTTTTCTAGTAATTTCTCTATCTTTACCCCTAGACTTTCTTCTGTTATTTTTCCATGGTGCCCCCAGACTTATTTGGATATACATTTCTGATCATATTATATGCTTATTGATTTGCCAGTGTTTCCCCTTTGAGATTAAATCTGAACACCTTGGAAGAATGCATGGCCCGTCATGGTTGGTTCTTGCCTTTCTTTCCAGCCTCTTTACTATACTCCATCTCCTTCCCCATGTACCCTATCTAGGTTACTCTGTATTTCTCGAATATGTCATGTACTTTTATACATTCCAACTGTTTGCTCTGTTGAGAATTCATTTCTCCAGCTCCTTTCTCAGCTCCTACTTTGTCTCCCCTACACACGCCTCCCCTCATCTCCCCATCTCACCCAGTCCTAAGCAACCACTATTCTACTCTCTGTCTCTGTAGATTTCCCTACTTTAGACGTTCATGTGAACAGAATCATATAATAGGTGGCATTTTTGACTTCTTTCATTTAGCATAATGTTTCAAGGTTCATCAGTGTTGTAGCATGTATCAGTCCTTCAGTCCTTTTTATGGCTGAAGAGTAGTCCATTGTATGTATATACCACATTTTGTTTATCCATTTATCTGTTGATGGACATTTGGGTTGTTTCCACATTATGAAATAGTGCTATTATGACCATTCATGTACAAATATTTGTTTGAATACCTGTTTAGAGTTTTTTGGGGATACACCTACATACACACCCCTAGGAGTGGAAACACTGGGTCATGGTAATTCTGTGTTTAACTTTCTGAGGAATTGTCAGACTGTTTTTTGCAACAGGTGAATCATTTTTTATCCACCAATATATGAGGGTCATAATTTCTCCACATTCTTGCCAACATTTATTATTTTCCATCTTTTTTTTTTTTTTTTTTTTTAGGACACAAAGTTTGCTTTAAATATTAAATATTTTTGGGGGGGAAAGGACACCACACTTCTACTCAATTAAGAGAAACATTTTTACAGTCTTGAGGTCTTTTATTTTCTTTACATTTATCATGCCATGAATTCATAGGGAATGGGTTCCAGCAGTTCAGGCTCCTTTCCATTAGTTCTCACAAAGTGTGCTTCTCTGGGTGGGGCAGGCTGGCGCTTCAGTTGAACCCAAGTACCTTTCTCTTTGGCTTCCTTCTTTTTCTGATCATTTTCCTTCACACTCTTCAGGAATCTGTCTCGGCTCTTTGAGTGTTTAATATACTCAATGTGTACATTAATTCTCTTGGCAAGAATCTTGCCCTTGTTTGTTTACAACAATGCCAGCAGCATGCTGAGTAACATTGTAGACTCTTCCAGTTTTGCCATGGTAACATTTGTGGGGCATTCCTTTTTGAACAGTGCCCATTCCCTTGATGTCCACGATACCACCTTTCTTATAGATTTGCATGTATGTGGCCAAAGGAACAACTCCATGTTTTCTAAAAGGTCTAGAGAACATATAGCAGGTACCTCTCCTCTTTCCCTTTGTGTTGGTCATTTTGGCGAATTACTGGAAGATGGTGGTTCCGGCTGAAAGGAAGCTATTTTCCATCTTTTTGATTATAGCCATCCCAGTGGGTGTGAAGTGGTGTGTCTTTTTGCTTGTATTTGCATGATAAATGGTATTGATCATCTTTTCATGTGCTTGTTGGACATTTGTTTACCTTCTTTAGAAAAATGTCTATTCAAATTTTTCCCCGTTTTTAAATTGGGATGTAAATTTACTGAGTTGTAAGAGTTCTTTATATATGCTGGATTCTAGACCCTTATCAGGTATATGACTTCCAGATATTTTCTCCCATTCTATAGATTGCTTTTTCACTTTCTTGATAGTGTCTTTTGATGCACAAAAAGTTCTTAGTTTTGATGAAGTCTAATTATTTTCTTCTTTTGTTGCTTATGCTTTTTGTTGCTTATCTAAGATTTCATCCTTAAATCCAGGACCATGAAGTTTACCCCTGTGTTTACTTGTAGGGGTTTTGTAGTTTTAGCTCTTATATTTAGGTCTTTGCGCCATTTTGAGTTAATTTTTTAATATGGTTTGAGGTGGGTGTTCAGCTGCATTCTTTTGTTGTATGTAAACAGTCAGTAATCCTAGCACCATTTGTTGGAGATACCATTCTTTCCGCTATGAATGATCTGGTGCCCTTGTTGAATGTCCTTATTTTAGTTCCTCTTTTTCTTCACCACCTACTTCGATAGGTGCCTCTAGTTTCTGAACCTTTACGTAATTCTGTATGTTGGGTTGGTCAGCTTTCTCCATTGCCAGCCTAGGATTCCATTATCTCTGGTATACCCATATTTACATTATTATTTTCTAAGGAGTCTGTTATTTCAGTTTTAATTTTTCTTTGACCTAGCAGCTTCTTTTTGTTTTCTAGTTGCATTTTCATGTGTGTGCTTTGTTCAAATTGTTTTCTACTTTTATTACATTACAGTAAAAGAATACTCAGTTATCACCTTTTCCAGAAAGCTTCCCCCCCCACCCCCCCGCGGGGCACCCCCCCCAGTCGGGCTGGCTGACTTCCTCCTCCTTGCTCCAGTCACATCTTCTGCTAATCTCTGACACCAGCACGTTGTGTGCAAATAATCTTTTTTCTCCTCTGTCCTTCCACCACACTGCGAAATTCTCTGTAGTTGGGGCTGTGTTTTATCTTTCTGTACCCAGCAGTTCATTATAGTTCCTAATGCATAACAAGAGCCCAGTTAATGTTTGTTCAACTGAAAATTTACTCAAATCCCCTTTCACACCCCCATGGCTAAGGGTTAACACTAAGTTTCTATTTTTAATTGAATTTGGTGAGGTCCAAGTTTATCATCTACTGACCAGAGAGTGTCTTTGTTGGAAGACTATACCAGTTATTGAGTATGTGTTAGCCTCTGTTAAAGCCTTGTAAATAACTTATTTGAGACATATGAAGCTGCTATCTTCCCCACTTTGCAAATGAGAGAGCGAAGACTTGGGGTGGTTGAGTAACCATCCCAGTCATGCAGCTGATAGTAAGTGGGTGTGCTTTTTGAACACAGAGCTTGATTTCTGTGCAGTTGAGTGGTACCCCTTCATGTCGTGAGGGACCCTCATCACTTTAGAACAGGTATTCCCAGCCTTCTGCAAGGAGGTGGGAAATGAGGTCGTTCATTGTCTCAAATTCAGACTTCTTTTATTTTTATTTTCTCATACCGAAGTTTAAAATGGCTATGGAGTGAAATCTGTTCTTCCTTTTGTGATTTCTTTTTGGTGTTTAAGCTTAAAAAGTTACTCTCTCTAATAGCTTGATGAAGATTCCATTTTTTCTTACTTCTAGTTTCTGTATACTTTTTTTTTTAAACTCTAATTCACCTGGAATTTATTTTGGTTAACCACATACTAGTCATTTTAAATTGCTGTAATGCTGATGTCCCTTAATAGGTTTGGCAAGTCTTATATTGCTGGATATTTAGGTTATTGCTAAAATGCTGCTACGAATACTTTTGTATAACCATTTTTTATTTTATTCTCCTTTTGGTGGTGGTCTTATTTGTGTGTGTGTGTGTGTGTGTGTGTGGTGAGGGTGGTGGTGGAGGGCTTTCGTCTTTTTTCTTTTAAGATTTTTATTTATTTGAGAGTGAGTGAGAGAGCACGGGGAATGGGGAGAGGCAGAAGCAGACTCCTCCTGATCAGGGAGCCTGACGTGGGGTTTGATCCCAGGACCCTGAGATCATGACCTGAACTGAAGGCAGATGTTTAACTGACTGAGCCACCTAGGCAACCTGGAGGGCTTTCTTCTATTTCCAAGTTTGGGTATAATTTCCTTAGGTTGTACTTCAGAGGATTAAAGAAGTGAACAATTATTTTAATTTAATTTCATTATTTTTTTATTGAGGTGTAATTCACATATAACATGTTAGTTTCAGGGGTACAACATAATGATTCAGTATTTGTATATACTGCAAAATGATCATCACAGGAAGTCTAGTTAACATCCATCTCCATATAGTTACAAAAATTTTTTTATTATGAGAACTTTTAAGATCTCTACTCTCTTAGCAACTTTCAAATATACAGTACAGTATTTTTTTTTTTAAAGATTTTATTTATTTATTTGAGAGAGAGAGAATGAGAGATAGAGAGCATGAGAGGGAAGAGGGTCAGAGGGAGAAGCAGACTCCCTGCTGAGCAGGGAGCCCGATGTGGGACTCGATCCCGGGACTCCAGGATCATGACCTGAGCCGAAGGCAGTCGCTTAACCAACTGAACCACCCAGGCGCCCTACAGTACAGTATTATGAACTGTAGTCACCATGCTGTACATTACATCCCCTTACTTATTTATTTTATAACTGGAAGTTTGTACCTTTTGATCCCCTTTCACTAATTTTGCCTGACACCCCCCAACCCCTGCAACCACTAATCTGTTCTCTGTATCTGTGAGCGTGGTTTCATTGTTGTTTTAAATTCCACGTATAATGAGATCGTATGGTATTTATCTTTCTCTGACTTCTTTCACTTAGCATAATGCCCTCAAGGTCCGTCCATGTTGTTGCAAATGGCAAGATTTCCTTCTTTTTCTATGGCTGAATAGTATTCCATTGAAATGAACAATTGTTTAATCAAGCACTTAATTGAGTTTCTCCTAAGTACAGGGCATTGTACTAGGTGCTGAATTGCTGAGTAGCTCTGATTGACAGCTCTGTTTTCACCTGATTTTCAGCAACCTGTATCATGCCAATCAATCATATATTTTTGTTCACTTAATGTAGGTCCATCTAGTGTGATTGATTGGATTAAAGTTGACATGTCCTATAATGGCTGTGAATTCCATAAGTGTCTTTTGTTTTTTATAACTCTGGCTCTTTAATTAGGGAGAAGAAACTACAGTTAGAATATTGAAGATCATTCCACATTTACTAGTCTTAATTTTTTTTTTCCAATTTATTTTGTTACTGGTTGCATGGTCTTACCTTAAATTTGTCTTGGTGGATCATCTCTGCAAACTTGCTCTTCTAAAACTGTATCCAGTATTCACTCAAGTGAAGAGGTTATTGTTTTTTATTTTTAAAGATTTATTTGAGGGAGAGAGAGAGAGCATCCATGGGTGGGGGGTGGAGCAGAGGGAGAGAGAGAGAATCCTCAAGCAGACTCCCCACCACCTACGGAGCCTGATGTGGGGCTCGATCTGAGGACCCCAAGATCATGACCTGAGCTGAAATCAAGAGTCAGATGCTCAGCTGACTGAGCCACCCAGGTGACCTCAAGTGAAGAGTTTTAAATTTCAGTTTTCAAGATACATAGAGCTAGTTTAAAGAAAATGATGGATGCTTAAGTTATTTTAATGATGGGATGCCTGGGTGGCTCAGTCGGTTAAGCCTCTGACTCTTGATTTCAGCTCAGGTCTTGATCTCAGGGTCGTGAGTTCAAGCCCCACTTGGGCTCCACGCTGGATATGGAGCCTACTTAAAAAAAAAAAAGAAAGAAAAGAAAAAAATCATTTTAATGACTGGATAAGTTATCTCAAAGTAGATCATTTGGGGGGTTTGATTATAGTTTAAATTACATAATGCAACTTCTTAATTTCTCTATTGGGTAAATGTCTTTGTAATGAATGAAAAGAATTTTGAATTGATAGAATAAGTTTTTTATTTTTATTTTTCCAGGAATCCACTTAAACAACAACCTAAACCACTTGAAATTTGGCTTGGATCATCATCGACTGTCTTCTACACAAACTGCAGCAAAGCAAGGGAAAACAGACTTGCCCCCAGCAAGAGCGGGAAATGACAAGATTGTTCTATTAGTGTGTAACCGAGCCTGCACTGGGCAGCAAGGGAAAAGGTAAAAACTGGCTTACTAATAAGTGCTGAAACTTTAAAAGTCCAATATTTTCAAACATTTTAAAAAGTGGGGATGAAAAACCCTTACTTTTATTAATATTTGATCCTGATATGTAGAAAGAATATGTGTATAAGTTGACCTGATTTTGAGGGGTTGGGAGGAGGAGAATATAAAATTAGGATGATAGAATCTGAATTAGAAAGGCTCTTCAAGCTTGTCTAGTTGTTAAAGGCTCGGTTCATGTGTTTATTTTTAGCTCAGGTTCCTCATGGGGCCTATAGGCCTATATCCAGCTACTTTCTTAACAGCCTTTTTTTTTTTTTTTTAATTCTTAACATATCTACTTGAATGGTACATGCACCTCAGCCTTATGTTCCAAACTGAACTGATTCTCTTTCTCTGTAAATCTGGCTCTCCAGTATTTCCTGTCTCAGCAAATGGCAGCACTGTTCATTCAGCTACTTAAGTCAGAAATTCAGGAGTTGCAAATCTCTCTCAAATCTGTTTCCTGCTAAGAATATATGGGAGTTTTAGACTTACCTTTTAAAGCTGTTCTATCACAATAGTAATGTAACCTGAGTAATAATGAAATATGGATATGTTTCAGGGACAAAGGACTCTGTTTCTACTGTTTGTCAGGGTAGCATTTTATTAGTCTTTTAAAATGTTGCTTAGAAATAACTTCCTTATTTAATGATGGTTAAATAACTTAAGTTTGAAATGTGTTGATGTGTATATTTATGATACTTGTTAACAAATACTTTAGTGTTTACAGTGTGTTGGGCACTGTTCCAACACTGGGGATAGAGCAGTGAACAAGACAGACTGTGTTCCTTTGGAGCTTACATCCCAGTGAGGACAGACCGACTATAAACAAGTAAACACATGTCACTTCAGACAGTCCTCACCATTTTGAAGATATTAAAGCGGGCCTGGATGATGGAGTGTGCTGGGGGCGGGGGGGGGGGCAGCCAGACCATGCTAGAAATGGGGACAGGGAGGTCCACCTGAGGAAGCAGCATGGAGCTGAGGAGACGGTGTGAGTGATGTGAGCCTCTGGGGAGAAGGCTGCATGGGGAGAGAACATGAGTACAAAGACCCTGAGACTAAGTAGAACTTGGCATGCTTATTTAAGGGGCGGAAAGAAAGGCAGCTCAGTGTGTTGATAAAAAATAAAGAACTTGTGGAGTCCCTTTTGTAATGATGCTCTTCTCTTACAAGGGAAGACGTGACCATGTGAAAAATAGGAGTGGCTGATTTACATGTGCTTGTCATTTCTTTCACATCACAGTGCTGTTTGTGGAGTACTGCTGTGTGTAGACTGAGGCTGTTAGGAACCGCTTTCTTGATCTGAGTGCCTCTCCTTCAGCCTGAGTCAGGGATTATCTCTTGGCTCCTTTGTTCATTCATTAAGCATGTATGGGTTTCTGGGCATTGGCTGGGTGTGGGGTACTGTGATAAATCATAGTTCTTGCTGTCAGATAACTCAGTCTACTGGTGGAGGCAGGAAGATGGACAGTATCTGCAGCACAGTGGAGTGAATGCCGTGGCCCAGATAGCACAGGGAACAAGTCAACAGGGTGCTTCCTGGAGAAGAATCCCTCTGCTGGGTCTTGATGTGAGTGAGTAGGAGGTGGCCTAGAGGAAGGGTGGGAGGGGTGTGCCGAGCGGCAGGAGTTGACTGCACAGAGAGTGAGTAGGACACATGTAGGGCAAAAGAATAGGTCTGAGCGGCTGGGCTTGGATGAGAGTGTGGCTGGGCCAGGGGTCCTCGGCCCTGGCTGCATATCAGAACCTCCTGGGGGTTCCTCAGCGAATCTGTGCTCGGGCCATGTACCGGAGAATCTCGGGGGCTGCACTTGGGCATCGCTGTGTTTAAAGCTCCCTTGGTGATCTCAGTGTATAGCCAAAGCTGAGAACCGGGGTACGGTACTCCTAGGAGTCCAGCATGGGCAGGGGCCACATGGCTTCTACTGTAGGCTGGGAGCTGACTTTCTGTGTCACTTGCTTGCCAGTGCCTTCCTTGTCAGACAGCCAGGCTATGGCCACCTGCCTGCCAGACCTTCTAGCCTTGTCTGTTCCTCCCAACACGCAGCCCCTTATATGGGGACCCATGCTGTTAGCCAGACCATGTCCACTCCCGTCGTCTTTCCTCACCATATTCATTGATCCTGTCCTCTTGCTACCCAGTATCGTCTAGAAGCCATTTTGACACATGAACTGTTAAATTTTGTTTAGAAATCTAAGCTTCTCTGCTGACTTTTTCATCTACTTATGGGAGTAACTATTAAATTTCGTGTTTGTTTTATTTTGAGAACTGTCCTAAAGCCAATAATATAGTCGTTCCATTTTAAGAGACCATGAATAAAGAGTTACAATATTAAAGGGACTGTGGTACTTTTAAGGTGATAGCAATATTTATGTGTGTTAGATTTGGACTGCCTTTTGTGCTGCACTTAGAGAAGACAATAGCGTGGGACCTTCTGCAGAAGGAAATCTTGGAGAAGATGAAGTATTTCTTGAGGCCCACAGTTTGCATCCAGGTGAGTAAGCATATCAACACTCCAGCATAGCATGCATGTGTACCCAAGTGAAGAAACAGTCACTGTGGTGAAATTTGAATTTCGAACCTCTGCACTTAGGGAAGACCAGGCGCTGAGCTGGGATGTTGAGGAGCCCTGGTGGACAGCTGTTTGGTAAAATCAGCTGTGTTCAGATTTTCAAGACTAAGGATGTACCCCTCATTTTCTGGCCACTGCAAGAATTCCCTTGAACTGCTAGGTATTTCTTTATAATATATATTTATCTAATAAAGATTAGCACACGATCAGCTTTGAGAGATTCTAGAACAGGTATCTGTATATTTTCAAAATTAGGATTACTATATGAAGGTATCCATGGAGGACTTACATTAAATTAAGGTTCAGCCTAAAGCAGCATATTACTTGTCTTGCATAACATGTTTGATACGTAAATTGCATTTAGATAAATGATCTTTAAAGTGTGTAAGAGTGGCTCAACAACCTAAAAGAATATCAGAGAGAAGCATTTTGCAAAAGCGTTTGCTGTCCCTCTCATCTGTTTTGGAAATGCCACTGTGACGCACATGCCCTTGGAGAGAAATTCAGCCACATTTTCCTTTACTGTTTGATGCAGGTGTGTCCATTCAGTTTGCGTGTTGTCAGTGTTGTGGGGATAACATACTTGCTGCCCCAGGAGGAGCAGCCGCTGTGCCACCCAACAGTAGAAAGGTAAAATTCGATCAATCACTCACCTTCTAGAATTTTATTTATCTTCCTCTGTAATTTCTAGTGATGTCTGGTATAATTTCTGCCTAAGTGTGGTAGGCTCATTAGGCTCGTTTAGAAATTAAGTATACTTATTTTACTTTTCATTCACATTTGAGTATGATATATATGATCTTTTTTGAAATCAGGAAAGCAAATTAATGTATGTCCCAGGACTACAGATAAATTACACTTTAATATTCAATCAGGATGGAAGTTTTCCAAAGTAGAATTCTTATCATGCCACTTTCCTCCTGGATATCTTAAATGGAAACCTGTAGCCTAAAAGATAAAGCCCAACTTCCATGGTGTACGAAGCTCTACACAGTTTGAACCCTGCTTACTTCTTGCTTGTCAGGCCCCACTCTTCTCCTCCTCCCATCTCAGACCTTCAGTAGTATCAGAGCACAAGGATTGTTGGAACGTGTGGCACCGCTTCGTGTGTGCCTTTGCGTGTGTGGTGTCCTCTGTTGATCATTCCGTTCCTTTAAGCCTTCTTTCTGTCCCACCTGTCCCTCAGTAGACTTAGTCACTTCACTCTACTACCTCTGTGCTTGGTTTATGGGGGAGAAGGAGAGATGTAGGAGCAGACTTCGTTTCCAGAGGAACTATTATCCGGTCTCTATTTAGATTGGTGAGAAATGAGACAAAAAGTTGGAAAGGTCATAAAAAAAAAAGAATATCTAAAAGTGATTGTGGACAGCCTTGTAACATGAGACTGATTGCTTCCAATCTCTTTATTTCTCTACTGGATGTTTTAATTTAGGATTTTTCAGTCCAATTGTAACCTAGTTATTCTAGATACGAGGTCATAATGGTCTCAATAGAAACTTTTTCTGATGAGGAACAATGATGAAGATTTTCAGTAATCATATTATGATACCGAATTTCAAATAGGACATAAGTAAAATCATTTCTTTAGAACATAATATGTGACTTTGTCTCCATGCTCTAGGGCGTTAAAATCTTGTGGACCAGGTGGCACTGCTCATGTGAAGTTAGTGGTAGAATGGGACAAGGAAACAAAAGATTTGTGAGTATTTTTTTTACTTAGTGCTTATAGAATCATTGTTTTAATGATCATTTTAATAGCATCCCTTTGATCTTTCAGATTAGCTGAAACAAATCTCTCTTTAAGTATCCAAGTGGGTTGCTAATCCTTTATTTAACCGGTTACTTCTTTCCTGTACATTCTTTTGTCTGGATCTCAAAAACCTCAGAATGTTTGCTGCTGATCAGACAGAACTATGTATTCATTACTGTACAGGGCCAATTACTTTTTTTTTTGTTTTTAGAGAGAGCATGCTCAAGCAGGGGTGGGGGAGGGGAGGAGAGGGCAAGAGAGAGAATCTCAATCCATGCTGGGCGAGGAGCCCGACTCAGGGCTTAATCTCACAACCCTGAGATCATGACCTGAGCTGAAATCAAGAGTGGGATGCTTAACCAACTGAGCCACGCAGGTGCCCCTTTGATTTTTATTACAGGCCCATTAATTCTAGTAAATTATGCCAAATGCATGGCCTTAGATACAAAGGACAAGAATATATGAATTAATAGTTCATGGCCAATCCCATGAAAACCAACTCCCAAGTTATTTCTTGAAAATAACTTTATAGATACAGAACTTTTCAAGGATATTTTGAAACATAGAAAAGTTGGGTGACCAGTTGGATAACCTGTTTGCTTTCATTACACACTGGTTCTTTTTTTTTTTTTTTTTTAAGATTTTATTTATTTATTTATTTGAGACAGAGAGACTGAGAGAGAGAGATATGAGAGGGGGGAGGGTCAGAGGCAGAAGCAGGCTCCCTGCTGAGCAGGGAGCCTGATGCGGGACTCGATCCAGGGACTCCAGGATCATGACCTGAGCCGAAGGCAGTCGCTTAACCAACTGAGCCACCCAGGCGCCCCTCACACTGGTTCTTTTTGGTTATAAATTTATAGTCACATTGTGAAGCTGCAATTTTGGGGTCAATTTTGCAAGACATTCTCTGATAAATACCCACCCCCTCCCCCATTGCAGCTTGTTTGTAAATACTGAAGATGAGTATATTCCTGATGCAGAAAGCGTCCGTCTGCAGAGGGAGCGTCATCATCAGCCTCAGACTTGCACTTTATCCCAGTGTTTCCAGCTCTACACCAAAGAGGAGCGGGTAAGAGCCTGGCAGCACTTCTTAGGTGGTGAGGGGGACAGGGAGGGGGGTGGGGTAGGATGACACCAGAGAAGCAAATGATGCTCCAGAAAAATCCCCAGACATTCTGCACTCATGTAAGTTCTGCTGCACACATAATGGGCATCTAAGTGCTATCCATTTTAGGACTTTAACAAAAAGTAGTTTAGATTACTAGAAAATTTTGACTGATTGAAATGCTCTAGAAGTGAACCTTTGTAGTTAATATTTTCCCCTTTTAACAATAATACACTTTTTTTTGTTTCGATTTAGAGATTTTATTTACTTATTCTCAAGACTTTATTTGAGAGAAAGAGAGATCGTGCGTGAGAGATTGAGCACAAGTGGGTGGGAGGCAGAGGGAGAGGGAGAAGCAGACTCTGCTGAGCAGGGAGCCCGACGTGAGGCTTGATCCCAAGACCCTGGGATCATGACCTGAGCTTGAAGGCAGACACCTAACCAGCTGAGCCACCCAGGTGCCCCTCAATTTAGAGATTTTAAATCATTTGCCCTAGTAACCAGAATAGTGATTCTTAATTTTTTGGTACTAAGAACATAGGTGCCAGAACCTATTTAAATTTAAACTAAATTAATGAAAACGAAATAAAATTTCAGTTCCTTAGCTGCATTAGTCACATTTGGAGTTCTCAGTGCGGGTATACATGGAAAGTTCTATCAGACAGCATGCTTCAGACCAGTCAACACAGTGCTTGGCAGATAGAGGGGACTCAGTAAATATTTGAATGGAAGAATGGACAGATACATGGATAAGTAAGTCTCTGCAGATGGGGCCAAGGTCTGTGTGGTTTTTAAAACTCTCCAGGTTTTTATGCACCTTGAAGAGCCTTGACTAGAGTACTTGGCATTCATCTAATCTTGAGTTGATGTTAGGATCATAATTTTGACTGCTAATTGTTACTGCTCACTCTTGTATGTAGTGAACCCTGCAATTTCAGGGTTAGAGGGGACTTTAAAGCTCCTTTTTTCTAATGGTTGAGTTCTTCTACCTAATTGCAAATAGATGATTGTCCAGCTACTGTTTGAATACCTTAGTTATGAGGCATTAGTCTCTACTCAAGAGACATACCATTTCCTCTCTGGATATCTCTGATGGTCACTGAAGCTGCCCTGAAATAGGCCCCAGGTTACTATAGCCAACAGGCGTTCTCTCTCCTGAGTTCATTAAGGATATTTGAGGACAAGTCTTAATTTTCTTCCACTTGTCTGTCCTTTAAATATTTGAAAATACTTTTAATATTCTCACAGAATCTTTTTCCCCCAAGCTGTTCATAGCTCATTCCTTTAATAATAGTTTTTTATATGACCTGTGTTTTTTTTTCCCCCAGTTTGGGGCCTAATTATAAAATAGTTGGCTTTTTTTTTTTAATTTTTAAAATTGTTTTAGATTTTATTTATTTATTTGAGAGAGAGAGAACACAAGTAGGGAGGAGAGGGAGAAGCAGACCCCCTGCTGAGCAGGGAGCCCGATGTGGGGCTCAATGCCAGGACCCCGGGATCGTGACCTGAGCTGAAGGCAGACGCCTAACTGACTGAGCCACCCAGGTGCCCCAGTTAGTTGGCTTTAAAATGGGTTGATGGCAGACTCTGGAAATTTGTCCTGTGTAGGCTTGCTTTTTTTTTTTTTTTTTTTTAAATTTGGGAGATGTTTGAGAATGGCACAAAGCTTAAAACTGAGCAGATCTACTATATGGCAACATTGGTATTCCACAAAACATCTCACTGGTCTAGAAGGATGAGTTCAAGCTGGCAAGATACATTTTAGTAGGGATTCATTCAATAAATGTTTATTGAGTACCTACCGTGTGCTAGGTGCTGCGTGAGGTACTGGGGATGTAACGGATCAAACCAAATGGTGGTTCTTCCTCTGGGCTATTTATAGTCTAGTGGGGATAAATAAGTAAATCAAGGAAGCAACTTGATGTGGTTGAGAAACAGGAATGAGGCCAGTGTAGCTGGAATACAGGGGTGAGGAAGAGAGTTGTGAGAGTCTGTCCTGGTCATAAAATAACCGTAGCGTCTATAAAGCAGTGCCTGGCACAGAGAAGGCATTTGGTAGGTATCTACTAGAATGAATGAATAAGTGAGTATTATTTGGGCAGTTCAGTCACTGGGTCCAAAAATAACAGTACAGGTACAGAGGAGGAGATAGGATTTAGCAGCAGACCCTGAGACGGTAACTTTGGGTTTAGTTGTCTACAAGCTCAGTATTGATCCACAGTGTCATGTGTCAGCCACCGTCAGCTGCCTTAAGGATACTTTAAAACAGTGTCCAGAATTCAGATGGTGATAGCACTGCCCTTTTCATTACCTTAAATGTTCACGGTTAAAAGAGACAGACAAACCGTGGCATGAGAGAGTGGCTAGGGGATGGTGCATCTGGAAACCATGATGTGCTGAATGTCTTTTGACAGAGGAGGCCTTAAGTGGGGATCTGATAGTTATTTTTAGGCACTTCAAGGACTGTCTGTGGATGAGGGATTGGACTTAATTCTATCTAAAAAGCAGAACTTAAAGATTGGAAATTACAAGGGAGAATGAATTTGTCTTAATATGAGGAAGAACTCCCTGACAGACCATCTGAAAATGAAATAGCTGCCTGCTGAGGTAGCTGTCCTTCATTTGCTACTCAGAGTTAGCTAGACCAGCGATGCTCCAAGTATGGTCTGCAGGTCCGGGAGCTCTTTATAGCAGTTTACAGTAAGATAAGTACAGAAATCAGAGACGTTTTAGAAAATGTCATAGCTATTAGACATTGTCAGGACATTCTTACTGTATCTTATACAAGTATCTGTGTTGGAAATTAACAAAACAAATAAACAACTTGCCCTTTTACCACAAGCCCTGGGCTGGATGGCCACATATGGAGACATTATAATATGTCAGCAGAGGTGCAGACTTACCGGATGACAGTGTAGGTCCCTGCCAGTCTGTGTCTGAGCCACCTCCATCTACCCAAACTTCTATTTCTCCCCATGTTTCCTACAAACATGATTGGGTCTCCCTGTCATGAAGAAAAAGAAAATCTCCTCAATTCTGTTTCCCTTTCCAGTGACCATGCCTGCCTTTCTCTTCCTCCTTTCTGCTTCATTCCCCATTGGTGGTTTCAGCTTTTGCCCTCCCTCCGTCTGACTTGCACTTCTGACAGTACCCTCTGAAACTCTCTCGGTGGCCTCTGGTTTGCTCAGTTCTGTGGCCTTTGCCCCATCTCCAGCCGACCCCTCCAGGGTCTTGCCATTTTCTCTCCTTGGTCTGTATAAAAAAGAATGCTTCTGGTTTGCCTGTTTTTCTGACGTATATACGTCCTCAGGCTCTTTCCCTTAAAAAGAGGCATTCCCCAAGATTCTGTTCTTGACTGCTGTCTGTCCCATCTCAGTGGGCATTGTCATCCACACCATGCTTTCCTTAACCTCATCATGTTCATGGTCCCTGATCTGATGCATCTTCTGAACTCCAGAAGGGATTTAAATCTCTCACCAGACATGCCTCATGGGCATCTCTAACTGAATATGTCCCCATCCTGAAACCCTCGCCTGCAGAGATGGCATATGTAGACTTGAAGCCTCAGATTGACGTTCAGAAAGACCTTGTTAATAGCAGGAGGTGGGGGGGGGGGCATTGTTTAGAGGGTTTCAGTGCTTGGGAGAGAGAGATCAGTTAGGAGACCCGCCAAAGTCCAGGTAAGAGCATGGGTGAGGATTGTGATTAAGGCCACCTTCGTGGGAATGGAGTAGAGGAGACAGGTGTGTGATATGGCAGACACAATTACTTTGGATAGATGTGGAACCGGAGGAAGAAGGAAGGGTTCGAAGGTTTGGGATACTCTGCCCCTCCCCGCCCCCCCCCCCCCCGCCCCCGCCCCTGCCTTGAGTACTGCTTTTGGTGGGTGGTAGTGGTGGTTTGCTGAGGTAGGACTTAGAGGAGGAGGAGAAAGTATATTGATGGAAAGGCAACAGGTTGAGTTTAGGAGTTTGTGGAAGTTGAGGTTCTTCTGTGACATTGAATATCCTCTGTGTAATATTTACCTGTTCAGTGATCTCTTTTTGAGAGATAATTTACTCAGCAAATCTTCGGGGGCTATCTCTGGCCAGGTGCCTCTTGTGATTGTGTTTTTCCACTGACTCCCCATCATATGTGGTTTCCAGAGAGATTCCGAATCGTACCACACCCTGACCAGGAAGTGAGTGCCATGGTCTTCTGTAGAAAGTCTTGCCTTAAGTGGTGCTTAACGGAATTCGTTTTGTGTCCTTGTTTTCAGCTTGCTCCAGATGACGCCTGGCGCTGCCCGCACTGTAAGCAGCTGCAGCAGGGGAGCATTACGTTAAGCCTCTGGACTCTGCCTGATGTGCTTATTATACATCTAAAGAGATTTCGACAGGTAGGTAAATCCTCTGTCTTAGTGAGAAAAGCTGTGGCCATGTTTCTTACACCTCTCCTGGTGGGCTGCATGGGGATTCTTTGGGTGTCTCTCTTTGACCTAGTGTTCCTGTCCATATTGTTAGACACACACACACATCTGCCCCAGTGTTTGGGGTCATGTTTTGTTCTTACCCAAAGCAAAATTTGAACATCTTGTGACCCTTTAAATTCTAAACATTTTAGTTCTTACTGCAGATATTTTACTTTGTTCTTGAGGACTTGCTTTAGATTTGTAAATGTTGTTTTTAAATTATAGTAAGTATATTTTGGTATTTAAAAAAAAAAAAAGTAGAGCTCCTTTCTGGGGTGGGTAGAATTCTCTTTGTACCTAAAGTAATAATGGGTGTTATCCTGCTCCCAAGGAGCTGTCGTATAGTTGGGAAGGTGAGTCATAAATATATACAGAGAAAAGGTGCTTTGAGCTGTATTACTCTGAGTCAGTTTTTCCGAAAAGGCTGTCTATTCCCTGAGGTTAGGGTTGTCCTGGGTGGGCCCCATTGTAGGAGAGGTAAAGAGGAAGTAAATGTTTAAGGAGTGTCTGAGGCCTGGCTTTAAGGTTTGTATCTGAAAGATTAGGAGGCGGCATCTCCCAGGTGAGGGAGAGGAGCAGGGCTGTGCACTCAACGGTGGCAGAAGGAGCAATGCATGCAGAGCCCTGAGTGCGGATAGCATGTGCCAGAGACTGAAAGCAGGCCAATTTGGCTGCAGCTCCAGAGGATGGGGGAAGCTGTGAGCTGAGGTGGAAGGGGTGCGCAGGGGCTGGCCAAGCAGACCCTTGTGGATAGAGTGGGATTCTGATAAAGGGTTATAAACAGAGAAGCAACATGACCAAATTTGTGATTTGAAGAGACCATTCTGGCTGCCGTGTAGAGAATGTGAGGCTGCACGAATGAAGCTAGGGAGATCTGAAGGGAACCAAGGCAACCATCCAGGGGAGGGATACTGATGGCTTCTATGGAGCAGTGGCAATGGAGATGAGATCGGAATAGAATCAAAAGATGTTTAGGACTTGCTGATGAAGTGGAGGTGTCTGCGGTGACATGCACAGGATCCCCATGGCTGGGCTTTCACTCAAAGGTTTAGGGTCTGGCTCCTTTAGTAAAGAATGTCCCAACTGCATGCTTCCATTGGGATCTGCAGGTAGAGAGCTGGTGAGGTTCAGAGCCCAGCCTTCTCTGGCCCCTTCCACATATGCACACTAACTTCCTTCGCTTTCTGTTTCTTTAGAAGGCATGTCCCCACCCTTACCACACCTCGGACTCAAAACTGCAGTGTCGCTTTTGACTTCTTGTCCCTCCCCTGTAGCCAGTTACCTCTTCAGTTTGGTTGTGCCTCTGCATGGCCTCCTGAGTGTGTCCCCTTCTCCCCATTCTTTTTTTTTTTTTAAAGATTTTATTTATTTATCTCCCCCCAGAGAGAGCATGGGAGAGAGAGAGAGCATGAGAGGGGGGAGGGTCAGAGGGAGAAGCAGACTCCCCGCTGAGCGGGGAGCCCGATGTGGGACTTGATCCCGGGACTCCAGAATCATGACCTGAGCCGAAGGCAGTTGCTTAACCAACTGAACCACCCAGGCGCCCCCCTTCTCCCCGTTCTTGGCCATCAGCATGCCACTGCAGACCTGTGAGACTTCCCAGCTGGTTGCAGTCACATTGTCTTCTCCTTGATTTCTTAGCCTAAGCTGCTCCTCCCTTTGTGTCACATCCTGTGCGCTGTTTACACAGCTCTGATGACATCCCCTCCGCCCTCAGGCCTCAGTGCTTGACTGCAGAACAAGGTCCAGATTCTTTAGTCTGACCTTCCTGACCATCCAGGGCTCATCCTGCCTTTCTCTTACGAACATTTTTCTTCTCTTAATAGACCATGGCTCCTTGGGGTGGGCGTTAGCCATGGCTGTTAATTTCTTAAAGCTCCCACAGACACAGGAAACATTTAGAAAACAGCTATTGAGCTGACGGTTGGATTTCAGAGGATTTCCCAGTGGCCTTAATGGAAAGTACAGATTACCTAAGATTATCAACTAAATGAATATATCAAGTCAGTGTTAAGCGGTAACATGCTTGTTGGAGGAGGTGGGGGGGTGATAGGGCGCACTGCTTATCCAGCGCTGTTCTGTGCGCATTGTCCCTCACATACATGAGCACTCCATCGCTGTTCATGCCTCTATGACAGAGGTATCAGGATGAACTGCCTGATAATGTCATTTTGTAAGTCTAAAACCTAAAACCCCTCTATCAGATAAGGAAATGGACTCAGAGGCTCATCACCCCTTATATGTAGGTCATTGCTTGTTCTACTTTTAGTGGTATTACAACCTGTTCCTCCAGACAGTTAAAACTGTTAGTGAGTTTCCCTATTTTGAATGTGTCTTGGGAAACATCAGGTAACTCAAACCACTCTAGCTGATAGGGTCCACATTCCACACAAAACTGATCTACCATCTACTTGCTTGAAAATATCATCAGAACTTATTTTTCTTCTTGCAACAGGAAGGAGACAGGCGTATGAAACTTCAGAACATGGTCAAGTTCCCCTTGACTGGCCTGGACATGACACCTCATGTGGTTAAGAGAAGTCAGAGCAGCTGGAGTTTGCCATCCCATTGGTCTCCATGGAGACGGCCCTATGGACTCGGGAGGGACCCTGAGGACTACGTCTATGACCTGTATGCTGTGTGCAATCATCATGGCACCATGCAAGGGGGGCACTACACAGGTCTGCAGTGCGAGAGTCCGGGCGTCTGTGCTGACCCTTCCTTCAGACAGGTTTTACTTGTGACAGGGATACTTTTGCTTTAGAACAGTGTGCCAACTTTGAGGGCAGTTTTCATCCTCTGGATCGCTGTCCAAGAGCAAATAAATGAAAATTCTAACTTCTTTTCCTGAGTTGGGTCCTCCAGTAGTTGTCTGACCTGACTGGGGAGCGGTGTGTGCAGACAGCGCCATCTGGGCCACCAAGGGCTCACTGTGATTACCTCCCCTGCACTCCACATTTAAGGTTTCACTCCACCTCCTTGAAATTCTAGCTTCTCCCTTATTTGGAGTGATTTTATGAACCAGCTTTATAGTGTCTTTATAGTGACTTGGAAGAGTTTTTCTCTTTGTTTTAAGGCTAAATTTATTTTTCATTTTTTAAAAGCAACTGTGTTCATTATCTGAAATTTATAGGCTAGAGAGAAAGAGAGAACATTACCATTGGCAACATTTTTTTTTTATGTGAAAACCATCATTGGCAACATTTTTTAAAAAATTGTGATAAATATACATATCAAAATTGACCATTTGAACCATGTTTGAAGTGTGCAGTTCAGTGGCGTTAAGTACATTCACGTTGTTTTGTGGCCCTCACCACCATCCTGTCTCCAGAACATTTCTTCTTCCCAAACTGAAACATTAAACAGTAATTCCCCTCTGCCCTCTTCCCCCCATCTCCTGCCACCACCAATCTTCCTGTCTCTATGAATCTGATTACTCCTGGAACCTTCTGTCAGTGGACCCATACAGTATTTGTCCTTTTGTGTTCAGCTTAGTTCATGTAGCATAATGTCTGTAAGATTCACCCATGTTCTAATATGTGTCAGAATTTCCTTCCTTTTTAAGACTGAATAATAATATCCCTTGTATGTAGGTAACATTTCTTCCAGTGTTTTTCTCTAAGTTTTGGCCATTATTTTACACTGTCATGATTGTACTGGTAGGTTCTATTTAGGTGAACATTCATGGAGCACGTCCTGCATAGCTTGCCCTGGGCTCACATCAGAGGCACATCAGAAATGAATAGGCCTCAACCTCTGTCTTCCCGGAGTGTAATCAGGTAGGGGGAAATAGGGCCAGATGATACGTAAGATCAGTAATGTGTCATAGGTTCTGTGGTGGAAATGTGCACAGGGGGTAGAGCAGGGGGCCATGGGAATGTGGTCAGAGCATGCTGGAGGCACAGGAGAAGCTGTGGGGATAGTAACCTGCCCTCTGTACTTCAGGACCAAATGGGCTGACGGGGAGACAGACAATAAAAGTTTCAGAATCAGAAGCACAGTGAGATGCGAGTGCTATGTACATGTCCCCGTATCCCAGTCTTCACACTTGACTGTAACAGAAGTATTTGGATGTTGGTGCTTAATTTTTATACACTGTTTTTTCATGACCACAGAACATTCTGTTGATGGAACTCTAATTTTATATAGCCATTCCCCATTGTTGAAAATGTCTACTGTCTCTGGTTTTTAACTTTGACTGTAACACTGATGAACATCTTTTAGTTTATATTCTAGTTTTGTAATTCCTCGAGATTGGTCTCAGAACTGGAATTATTGGCTTAAGGGCATGTGTGAACATCGGGGTGGCAGGCAGGTGTGGGGACTCTTCCTTGGACATTTGTGTTTGGGGGGAGTCCATGGAGGGCGCTGCTGTTAATTTGCCAGTCTGTATGGGTGGGCGGCCAGGACTTGGATTTTTGCTTCCTTCACACTAAGCACATTTTACATGTGTACTTCTAGGGACTTCCTTTCTTTATGAACTCAGTGCTTCATGCAATAAGACTCCAGGGCACCGGTGATTCATAAAGGTCAGGGGAGGTGGAGGAGGTTGGGTTCCACCAGTTAGTTTTTAAACATCTGTGAGACCCTTCCCTAGCAGTTAGCCCCGAGAGCCCCCTCAGCAGGCTCCCGAACCCCTCCACCAGCACACTCACTCAGCCTGCTCTCGGAGACCACAGGAGGCGGGGATGCGGCAGGTGACTGGATACAGTAATCTTTTATTCTTGAAACCCTTTTAGCTCACGTTCGTTTAGTACTTAGATGCTGCAGGCAACAATTATTTGTGAGAGGAATGATCCCAACTTGGAGTGTATCTCATAGTAGAACGGTTTGTTTGGCCTCTACCCGCCCTAGGAAGCACACTCAGGGAGAAAAATGAGATAGAGAAGTCGAAGACCCTAGAAGACAAAAGTTAATTAAACATTTAGATATATTTTACCTTGTATTTTGGTTTAAATCAAATTTAAAATCTGATAAGACTGAATTTTGTGTCTTGCATATTTTGTATTTGTATTTTATGGGGCTAGTTGCATTTAAATGTCATGTGTCTGATTGGATGTTTGCCTTTGTGGCGTTACCACTCATGTCTGTGTTCTTTGATCCTGAGTAATAGAATTATACACTCATGGACTCTTCAAATGGAAAGGAACTTAGAGGTGATTTCAGTCCACTGGTTAGCTGGTGTGGTAACACCTTTTCCAACATCCCTGGTTAGTGTTCACGCAGCTTCAGCTTCGGTAAAGAATGTGTCTTCCATTGATAATATTGTTTCTCAGGAAAATAATGCACTTTCCAACAAGAAATTGTTGAGAAAAAGAGGACAGTACTGGATTTTATCCTATCGTGTTCTTCTTTATATAGAGTGGGCTTTGGAAAATGCCTGAAAACCTGCAGGTACTTGGGAGGCCCCATAGTTTAGAGTCAGGAGCATGGGCTAGAAGCTAGACACCTCTTCCATGCTCTGTGACCTACAGCAGGTGACCTTACATGAACTTGGTGACTACGCCAGTGAACTAGAAGTGCTCGGACCTGCCTCTCGCGACCTATTGTTACCTAGGAAGAGCTTAGGCACTTTCTGCATTATTTCCCCTTTGTGATGCCTAGGCCATACCACTCCTTTTCTGATTGACACATAAAAGTTTAGGGTTTTAGTTTAGAGAACATTTTAAATGCCTTTGTATTGTTGAATTCAAGATAACATGTTTTTAAGTCTTTATTTGGAATTTTATTTTGTACTAGTTCTAGCTATAATCACATGGTATGTGTATGGCTAACTTGTGTATGAATTCTAGATCAAACTTCCATGATGAAGAACCTGCCTTTTTTCTTTTTCAAAATTTCCAGTTTTTCATGAATCAGTCTTTGTAAAAATACAGAAAGAATATCACGGCAGTGTCAGATTGCTATTTAAATGCTAATTTCAGTTTGGGTGCTTATCTTGTTGTGGACCGGCACCAGTCTACGAACCACAATTTGAGTAGCACTTGTCTAGAAAACACTTGAGAAGCTAGTGCCAGGAAGAAAAGCAAGTAGAATTATTTGGTAAATACACTGAAACCATTAGTGATTTGCCCTGCTGCCTTAGTTGCCTTGCTGTGACTGGGAACAGACCACCCTGAAGAGAAACAGACTGATGCTAGTGCTGGGCTGTTCTGTCACCTTGTCTTGGGCGAGTCCCACTCCAGAAGAGCAGCCACCTCGCCAGCCGGGTCATTTCTATATCGAGCCTGACCTGACACCACTGGCCAGTTGCCGTTTTACCAGCTCCATGTGCTACCTCTCTCTCTACTTCTCTCCCCTTCTGGTCCTAGGAGCCCATAGCGGTCCATGATTTCCCTCCCCACGATCAAAGATTCTTATTCTGCTCTTCTCTTCGGGGACCTGTCTGGTGTAGCCCCTCCTCGCCTCAGTCCCTTTCATTTCTTAAGGTTCCATACTCACAAATGTGGTTGTCGCCTGCGAGGGAGTCACTCTTTGGCACCTCAGGACACTATGTGCCCTGCCTCTGAGTGTTGAGCAAAATATTCTAGCACTCATTTATTCTTACTCCAATAAATGGGTATTTTTAGAAAGCATGATAAGAATGTACCCCTTTGGATCAAGTTTAATCACACCTCTTGATATATCCTTACAAGATCACATGGCTTCATGAACACTAAGTTCTTGTCTGCTTTTGTTGGTACCCGAATGGTCTTTATTTCTCTCTCAGGCTTAGAATTTGAACTGGAGAGAAACACGCATGCATTTATGAGCTCAAATGTTCTTAGTTTGCTGGGGGACTTCCACTGGGGCCTTGTTGGTGCTACCCCTGAGAAGCAGGGTGGGGTAGTTTAAGTGCAAGCTCAGGGACTAGATACACTTGATATGAACTGGGCCCTGCTTTTCACCAGCTGCTTGACCTTGGGCAAACTCGTTCATTTTTTTGAGCCTCTGTAAAATGGAAATAATAAAAGAACAAATGTCATAGGATTAACTGAGAAGTTTGGCACATAATAAGTGCTAAACAAATATTAGCTGCTGCTAGTATTAGTATCATTATTTCTAGTTCTATTTTCTATCTCTAATAAACACTAAAATGTGACAACATGCTTATATCAGGGTTTCCCAGCCTCAGCACTCTTAACAGTATGGCTGGATAATTCTTGTGGCGGGGACTGTCCTGGGCATTGTAGAATGTTTAGCAGCATCCCCAGTCACCCACTCAATGCCAGTAGCACCCTAACCCCTAGTATGACAGTCAAAAATGTCTCCATTCATGGCCAGATGTCCCTAGGGGAGCAAAATTGTCCCAGGTTGAGAACCACTGGTTTAAATAAATGAGTATATTGTGTTTTCTAAGATTAAGTAGAATTTTGTCCATTTGGAATAGTTTAAAATTTCCTGAAACATTTTGCCTGAGCGTGATAGGCGATTTGGATTTTTTACCCCTTCATATGTTACTACATGCAGCTTTAAAAACCTCTTGAGTTAATGATACGAGCCAAAGCACTGGTGTCTGTGGGCAGAGTGGAGTGGTTGGTGCCCCCCTCCCCTGGTACTGATGACAGGCTCTTCTTTGGCAGCGTACTGTAAGAACTCTGTGGATGGCCTCTGGTACTGCTTCGATGACAGTGATGTGCAGCAGCTGTCGGAAGATGAGGTCTGCACACAGATGGCATACATCCTTTTCTACCAGAGGCGGACAGCTATTCCATCATGGTCGGCCAACAGCTCAGTGGCAGGTAAGGCCAACTTATTCTTTGGCAGGTTTTTCTAGAACAGAAGATTGTAATTAATGGTCCAGAGAACTCCACAAGGTCTCATGACTCTGTGGGGTTGATCAGATCAATCCTCACATTTGCATTTAATCTGGAAACCAAAATGATTGTGGTCAAGGAGATAGGGGTGGAATGTGTGAACCAGCAGCATTCACATGGAAGCATGTAGAGCCTGTCTCAAAGTGAGCATGCCATGTCTGCTTGTGGAATTAATGAATGAATGGATGAATGAATGAAAGGAAGGAAGGAAGGAAGGGAGGGAGGGAGGGAGGGAAGGAGGGAGGGAGGGAGAGAGGGAGGGAGGGAAAAAAAAAGCAGTACGGCATGCTACTCTAAAAGGGAATGAGACTTGGCTTTGCCATGTTTTGGTTGGATCCATCATCTTGGAGCATATCCCATCCAAGCCACATGTTTAATCATCTGTAATGTGGGAGTACTAATAATACCTGCCTTATGGGGTCATTGTGTGCATCAGATTAGGAAAATGTACATTAGAGCCTTTTAGAAAAGGTAAAGCACCATTAAAAATAGTTCTTTTTCCCTGTGCAGTCGGCCTGTTCCATTAGAAGGGTTGAAGGCTACAGTCTATTAGATGGGCTGGGTTTAGCTGGATGGGGTCTAGTCTGGATGCAGCTACACAGTCCAGGCAAGGTGATGCATGCTTCTTAATGCAGAGTTTAAGAGACTGTGGCTGAGGACGGGGACATGGTAACATGGGATCATGTTAGAGAGTATTAACCCTGGGTTGAAGCTTGTGAGGGGTAGGTTCGAAGCCGCTAAAAGGAGGCACAGCTGAAGCAGAGTGAGCCCCTGCTGGAGTCAAGCCTCACTCAGTACACCTGCCTCTCCGTAGCCACTCACTCCTTTAAGAGAGTGGGAACTCTAGTGCTCTAGTGCTTTTCCCCAGTGCTTTCTGGAGCCTGAGATATGCTTGGAAATTACACCCTCTTGAGGTCTATTTGAGACATGTTCTCAATTTTGAGAGCATTTTCTGTTGCTCTGGAATATATTTCAGGGCATCCCTGGAATGGACAGTACAGATTGACATATATCCTGGGTGTGTGCATGTGTGTGTGTTTGTATATTAACATCGTGAAAATGACGTAACGACTCCACAAAGCAGTGAGGCTAAGAAGATAATGGAGCATGCCACTTTTATTTGCTCTGTGTCAGAATTTTTTCTGTGTGTGCTTAGAACAGTACTCGGCAGTAGGTGCTTAATAAATATTTGTAGAATGAGTATGAACGATTCAGTTGCCAGCACTTAAGACCTGCACTTTGCATTACGAAGTGTCCATGCCTATACTTGCATTTCATTACTATAAATATGTGCGAGAGTCTGGCCTCCTTCTTCTCATCTTAAAGGGATATTCAAGCAGGCGCAGGTCTGCTTGAGGTCTGGGAATTAATACTGACGTCGGCCACCTCCCAGCTCCGGCAGCAGCACTTTTGTGAGGGTGTGTGCCAAGCCGCCGGCCCGGGATTCTGGCCTGACCTCACTGCCCGCTTTCTTTACTGCAGGCTCCACAAGTTCTTCCTTGTGTGAACACTGGGTGAGCCGGCTTCCGGGGAGCAAGCAAGCCAGCGTGACCTCTGCAGCTTCCTCCAGACGCACCTCCCTGGCCTCGTTGTCCGAGTCGGTGGAGATGGCCGGGGAGAGGAGTGAAGACGATGGTGGGTATGGGTTTTGTGACACATTTCTACAATGGTGTCTCATAGACACAGCACAGGGTCCCTCATGCTTAGGAATTAAGCCCCAAGAAGACTGGGAGAAGGTAAAAGGGCTGTGTAGCTGTGGGTTACAATCATAAGTGCCATTTTCTATAAACCGGATCATTCGCTTTTCCTCTGTGACCTCTAGGATGACTTTCTCCTCCTACTTCATTATTTTCCACTTCTAAGGTCTAGCGTGGAGGCTGGAGCTTTAACTCTGTATAATGTATACATTTCTTTCAAAGTGCTTTTCAGAGTTCCTAAAATAAGCTGTAAGGGGACTCTGCAAGGGTGATTTGCCCAGGGCCTCCTTCCTGGCAAGGAGGAGTCGCTGTGCTGGCTCCGCTGGGGGCTTCCTGACTCTTGGCTTCTCCCCTTTCCGCCGCGGTTTCCTTTAGAGGAATTTGTGGCATGTTCTTTTAAGTACAGAAGCATCTAGAACAAAAACTCTTGCTTCTGCATAAAGATAGTTTTTAAGAATTCTGAAGATGGTCACAATATAAAAACCTGGGAAATATGATACAAATAGAACTCTTTTTTTTTTTTTTTTTTTTTTTTACCTTTACTTACCACTTGTGTAATGGCAGGAGAACCCTCAGTTCTGACAGGAACCCCAGGTGGTGCAGGAGGGATCAGGCAGCCCAGGCACCGAGGCTGGAAGGAGGCGAGAGTGAGCTCAGCTTCTCTAATGAGGATGGTGCCTCATCTCCCAGCAAATCTCCTTCTGCGGCCAGCATGTCGGTTGCTGTAACCCTGTAGTCTGCGTCTAGTGATGGGTAATTGTGAGAACGTGAAGTGGAGGGAAACAACAGGAAGCTGAAAGGGGCTGCTTGGCCGGGGAGGTCTTCGTCATTGTAGCTCCAGCCCCTCTCCCTCTTCTGGCTTGTTGCCTCTTTATTTGTAAAATAACAAGAGTACTTAGCTGGAATTGCTAAGCTCCTGACATTTTATGGAAAACCAGCCAGTGGATCTTTGCTTGTTTAGGTAGAGATTTTTCTCAATGCAGCCTTTAAATTTAGAATTCACTGTTGTTTTAACAGTAAGCTGGTTTGCCCTCGGTCTGTGTAGTTGGTGAAATCAGTATCCTCTTAAGCATCATCATCACACTGGTGCCGGGTGGTGCCCACAGAACAGAGCCTGTCCCTGGGGATCTTATCTGGATGGTTTTATAAATACCACAGCTACGGTACCAAGTATGTATGAAATTTAATTTAGAATATTTTCTTTGGAAGGAAGTATTAAGGCACTCAAAATAGAAGTATGTAGTTCTAATTATGAACTTTTTCTTTGGAAGTTGGAGATGACTCAGGAGTATATTATTCTAATTATGGATATTGCCTTTAGAAGTTTGAAGTCACTCAGGATAGGAGTGTATTGTCTGTGGTTCTTTCCACCGGTCTGCTGTTATAGTCAATAATTACAAGCCAGGCTCCATGTGGCATTGAGTCGGGGGCAAGGGTTTGTGGTTCTGGTGTTAGCTCTGCCTCTGATTCTGCATAATCTTGAGCAACGACTTGACTTCTGTGGGCCCTGGTTCTCCTTAGTTAGATGAAGAAGCTGGATCAGCAGCTCACATTTACTAAGCGTCTGTGAAGTGCCAGGTGGGCCTACGACTTTCAGGATTTTATCTAGTTCTTGTAGTAGTCCTGTGAGTTAGAGCAGACAGCCTATGGGCCAAATATGGCCCCTGCCTTTATTTGTAAATAAGGTTTTATTGGAACACAGCCACACCCGTTTGTTTATGTGTCCTCTGTGGTGGCTTTCATGCTGCAGTGACAGAGTTGAGTATTTGGCCCACAAAGCCTAGAGTATTAATTGCCTGGGCCGTTAAGTCTCTTGACCCCCGACGTACAGCAAGAAGTAAAGAGTTTGCTGATCCCTGAGTTAGAATGTCCCTATTTTATAGATAGGAGAACTGAGCTCAGAAAAGTTGAAGTCACGTGGCTGCTCTTATGACCTCAGACATGCTGGCTCTGAAAGTCACGCTCCTGTCATTCCACCAGGCTTGCCTTCCTTCCATCTTCAGTATCTTAAGGTGTTGCTGGGACATGTTTTCGGTTTAGCTTAATGCTATTCTCTCTGCTGCATTCAGGAGGTTTCTCAACTCGACCATTCGTGAGAAGTGTCCAGCGTCAGAGCTTGTCATCCAGATCTTCTGTCACCAGCCCCTTGGCCGTTAACGACAATTGCATTAGACCTTCTTGGTCCTTGTCCACCAAGCTGCAGATGCGCTCCAGTTCTCCCTCCCGGTTCTCAGGGGACTCACCGATCCACACCTCTGCCTCCACCTTGGAGAAGATCGGGGAGGCAGTGGATGACAAGGTCTCCATCTCTTGCTTTGGCAGCTTAAGGAACCTTGCCAGCAGTTACCAGGAACCAAGTGATAGTCACAGCCGACGTGAGCACAAGGCTGTGGGTCGGGCCCCTCTGGCTGTCATGGAAGGTGTGTTCAGAGATGAATCAGACATCCGCAAATTGAACTCCAGTGTTGTAGACACACACAGCAAAAACTCAGCACAAGGGGATCGTGTGCCCCCAGTCTCTGATCCATTTGATAACAATAACCAGATTGCTTATGTGGATCAGAGCGATTCTGTAGACAGCTCTCCAGTCAAAGAGGTGAAACCCACAAGCCACCCGGGCTCCCTCACAAAGAAATCAGACAGCACAGCCAAGAGATCCCCCAGCTCCAAAGGCGCTTCTGAGCCAGATAGAAGCTTGCGGAAGGGGAGACCAGTCTTGGCAAGCCAGGAATCATCTCTTTCAAGTACATCTCCTTCTTCTCCTGTTCCTGTAAAAGTTTCTATAAAGCCCTCCCGCTCCCGAAGCAAAGCAGATTCTTCTTCCAGGGCCAGTGGACGGCATTCCTCCCCTGCCTCTGGCCAGCCCAGAAAGCAGTCCTCCCCCAAACCCCAGGACTCCGTGTCATCTCCTTCGCCCCAGAAGCAGAAATCATCTTCCTCCCTCACCTACACTGCTTCCTCCACATCTGCCAAAAAAGCCTCGGGCTCTGCTGCAAAGGGTCCCTTCCCTCCTGGGAAGAGCAGGACTTCAGACCGGAGCTTGAGTAGAGAGGGCTCCAGGCAAAGCCTGGCTTCGGACAGAGCCAGCGTCACCTCCAGCTCTAAACCCAACTCCCCTCGGGTGAACCAGGCCAGGGCCGGGGAGGGCCGAGGGGACGGAAAGCACGTCAGGAGCTCCTCCATGGCCAGCCTGCGTTCCCCCAACACAAACATGAAGGCTGGTCTGAAGAGGGACAGCAAGTCGGAGGACAAGGGGCTATCCTTCTTCAAGTCAGCTTTGCGACAGAAGGAAACCCGGCGGTCGACTGACCTTGGCAAAACAACCTTGCTCTCCAGGAAGGCCGGTGGGAGCTCTGTCAAGTCGGCTGGTAAGAATGCTGGGGATGAGAAGGCAGAGAAAGGCTACCAGCCTCCAGGTATCCAGCAGCCAAGTGCAAGTGCAGTTGGAAAAGAGCAGCTTGTCTCCAAGGACCCTGCTTCTGCTAAACATTCCCTGCTGTCCGCTCGCAAATCCAAGTCTTCCCAGCTAGATTCTGGAGTGCCCCCATCTCCTGGTGGCAGGCAGTCTGCTGCGAAATCCTCAAAACAGTTCTCTTCTAGCATGCAAACCTCTGCACGGCCTTCTCAAAAACCTCAGTGATGTTTCTGCAATCCAAGTGTTTTATCTGTAAAGATGTTTATTTATTTAGAACCCCTTCCCTCCCACCAAAGCCTTCTATGCTTTTGTTTTGTATGTTTCGGGTCACGTGCCTAGTGTGTGTGCGCGTGTGTGCGCGCGTGTGTGTGTAGAATTCAACTGCAAATTGTTAAAAGCGTCGCCTTATTCTGCCATTGAACCAAATAACAGCCATAGGCAAAGCATTGATACCAAGCTAACTGGAATAATTGTAGACGAGACCCTGGGTGGTCCCTTTAGCAATTGTACATATTTCTTTCTAGAGAACTCTAATGACTTTTGTTGGATACTAGGGTTTGGAAACCTGTGAGCCAGTTAAGCTGTCATTAGTGTGTGCTGTGGAAGGACCGGTTATTTGACTTGGGTTTCCTCTGAGCAGGATTTGTCCTCACAGCTAATTGTCATGTGGCACCAGGAGCTCTAAAAACTGTGACGCTAAGAGTGAAACAAACCGAGAGAAGACTATTGCTTTCTGCACTTTGGCCCCATCTACCAGTCTCTGCAAAGGGCAATATTTTAACACTAATGTTTCTCAGGTATATACTCAGCCAGTCTAGGGTGGATGCGCAATGAAGAAGGTGGCCTGTGAGTGACTGTCATTTCTCCGACTGCCACAGATAGAAATTTCTAGAGGTAGAAATGAAGTCTTTCATAGCTTCATGTCTGCAAAGATGTGTGTACCATAAGCTGTCTTGATTCTTAGGATATGTCCTAAGAGGTGGCAAATGGGACAGCCAGAGAGCCAGTCACTGATTAATTTTGTTTTCCTTCTAAATTCGCTAGCTATGGCCATGGGATTTTGAAAGGTAGAGCAGTTGACATCTTTGAAAGATTTCCGGAAAAAAATGGATTCTGAACTGGATGCATGAATCTGTACCATTTTCCTTCTCTGGTGTTGCTTTTCTCTATGTTAGAAGCTGAAAGCTCCGTGTTGCCCTGTGTGCGCATGCCCATGTTTCTTGTAACTTGGAGAGGAAAGAAGTTGCCTAATGCCAAAAGTCAGTTGATGGTGTGTTGAAGCAACGTGTGACACAGTATTATGTGTGCGCTTCTGATGCTGCCTGTCAGTCTCAGTTGTAGACTGCTTTTCAGTAAGTCATTTATTTCTTCTTTGTGCTTAAGACTTAATCTCTTACCCAGGACTCAGAAGCAGGATTGGAGCATGTTCCATCTGGCATTGTCAGTGCAAATTGCATTTCTTGTTTAGAAAACCAGGGAACCTCACAAAAATCTCACAGATAAGCAAGATACATAGTTCTTCAAGCTTTCTGGAGGTATCCTGGCAATTTTTAGCTTTCTTTTTTTTTTTTTTCTATTTTTTTAAAAATGTCAAGAGAGTCATGGTCCTGATTCTCTTTGAATAGCATTTGTCACTTTGCCATGAAATATAGCATGCTAAGTTTATATGCTTTTAAATATTAACTTTTAAAAAAATTATAAACCCTTCCAGTTCTTCCTGAACTCTTGGTGCACAGATCCATTTATAACCTCCTTTTTCAGTATTGCTGTCTGTGAAGTAATTAGAACATGTACACATGCATAGCTATGAATTCTGCACTGCCTTTTTTTTTTTCCTGTCCCCCCCCTCCCCCCGCCCCCATGAATACCTCTTGGGAAATATTTCCAGTAGGTTTCTAACTTTATTTTGCTGCTACTTTGAGCATGAGCAGGTAACTTGCAAGTCTGGAGGCCATTTATGTTGAGGGTAGCTGGCATTTTAGACCCTTGCAATTTTTAAGACTTGGCTACTCAGCCTTGTGAAAGTTACCATAGTGCTCCATGAAGTTCATTGAACGTGAGCCTGTTGCCCGGTGCACTCGGTCCTGTACTCACCCCTTCACTAGGTATCGCTGTTGCACTGCATGGGCTTCTGGTCTCCCAAAGCAGCGTTCCTCTCCTCTACTGTAGTGTGACTGTCGAAGACTGGCTGCCCTCAGTGTGGTCACTGCTTCCACGGGCACCTGACAGCCCCATCAGTGTTTAGCCACCGCTGGTTTTTCTGTGTCACTTTTATTTCCTGGAAAGGATGCACCAAGTATGGGATCAACAGTATCAGGAGTTGAATGTTTGTCTGATTTGAGCCTCTCGTCTTTCTTTGAAATAGATAAATCTCATTTGAAATCTCCTATCTGAAGCTCTGAAACAGCCTTAGAATTATAGTTTGACTACATAAAGGTTTTTAATAACACCTTTTTCTGGGGCTGTTACCAGTTAAGCATAAGTAGGATCTAGTTTAACTTTCACAGTGGCAAATATTTTTATTCTCAAGTCCTCCAGGAATGGATTTTCCATTATATCTAGTGTTTTCAAAAAAACAAAAAACAAAAACAAAAACAAGCAAACAAAAAAACCAACTCTACAAATTTCTTTAATTTTCCATGGGACCTAGAAATAAAATTTCAGTATCTGTAAATAATATGTCTATGGAGTTTAGTCTTTTTTTTTTTCAGATTTAAATGAAAAAAAAAATCAGGAAGTATAATGGCATTGTCTAGACTTCTTTAAGCTGTTCCATTTCTGTGCTTGGTAAACAATGAAAATCTCATCCATATCTACTAGGTACAACTTTTAAGTCACAGAAAAGGTTATTTGCCCAAAAGTTTGAAGGTGCTCTTTGAGGTGTGAAAGATCTTATGGGAAAATTATTACTTGGTTCAATTCGGTTGTTCAGTAGGTTAGGGACTTGATGTTTGTTTTGTTTTTTATTTTCTCAGTGATGTTTGGCATATTGAGCATATCTATGCTTTGGGGTTAAAAATGATCTGCCAAGGCTGGTGGGCCTGAGTTTCTGGTTGGCAACCAGGTGGGCCTGATTAGAGCAGTCATTTCCTGGTAGGCACAGAGTAATCCCTGACAGGAGTGTGGCTCCTTAATGTTTTTTGCTTTTAAAAAACTTTTTATTTTTGATTTCTTTTCCTGTGAACATCCAGTGCACTGAGGCTATGTCATTCCTTCAGACAGCCCTACACCTTGCCTTTGTAATCCCTTGTATAATGTGGAACCACAACGAAACTGTTAAGCTCATGTCATCTCAAGATCACCTCCCAGCCCTTGTGTTTTCCCATCCTAAAAGCAGCCTAACTGAAAGGAAGTAATACCTTGCTGGGCCAATAGAAATGGACGTGGGAGTATTTGTGGTCTGGTAAAATATTGTAATTCTTGATGAAGCTGCCATAAATCCTTGTAATCATTCTTTCCTCATTCATTCATTCATTCTGCAAGCATTCGTTGAGGGCCTGCTTTGCTCGTAAAGGCAAGCGGAAAGCGTCAGGAATTCGCTGTAGCTGAGGAGCCCTGGGAGCCCAGCCGATGAGCCAGGGGATGCCAGTGATACCCTAAATGGGGTGACGGTCCCTCCCCCCCCCAAACAGAGAGCAGATGGATTCTGGTGAAGCAGTCAAGGCCTGTGGTCCTCTTGAGCAAGTCTCTCCTGTTCCGGAAACCAAAAGTGCCCTTCTTCATCTTCGGAGACATTTTACTCTTACATCCACTTTTTCAGACTGAGCTGTCTCTACTACTTAGGGGTTGAAAATCCATTACGAAGTCACTTTCCATTAGAATTTGGTCATCCACGTGTGTATGAAATAGATGTGGGGGTTGGGGGAGGGGGACAAATTGCCATCCCTCTAAAGTAACTATCGTGGAAAAAATGAGGGACAGTTTGTCCAGGAAGCAGTAGTGTCAGCCTTTAGGAAAAATGGAGCGGAGATGAGCTGTGAACAAAGCTCACTTATTTCAAATAAACATGTTTTTTTAAAAATAGATTGACATCTGATGTTACATTTCATTCTGACAAATTACCGAAGAGCTGAAGTTGTTGTTTCCTACGTAGGTTATCGGAATTATTGGATGCCAAGATAATTAGTGTTTCTGGGTTGGATTTTTGAGATAGTATGCAAATCATAAGCACAGTTTCAATAAAACACATATTCTGTGAGGCGTGTTGAACTTGTATTATTTGGAATTGAGAAGAGCAAAATTTGCTGACAAACCAGCGCCTATATCATAAACAGAAAGCAGCTGCTACTGTGCTGTCTTCATGTTCATAAAGGACACATTACTGTGTTAAACCTGACTACATTTTTCGAGGGGAAATCCTGTGCTTTCTTTAAATGAACACTTAATGTTTCACACTGCCTTTTGATCAACTCTCAAAGTGTTCGTTTTGCAGCTGCAGTTTGAGCATGACCAGTCATTTTTTCCCCCAAGTAATGACAACAGTTTTGCTTGGCCTCCATATAACCCAGAAAGCATGTTCTTACCACCTATGCAAACAACTAATAAAATGTAGACTACCCTAAATGTAAATTTTAAAAAAGGCAGTTCTTGGATAATGGAGCTCTATTTTTGAATTTGTAATTTTTTTACATGTGGCTTTATCATCAATACTGAAGAGCCTGAATATATTTTCTTGTTTTGCTTTGCACATGTTTCTCTTTGCTGTTTTGTTTTGTTTTTGTTTTTTGATCGTCGGCAAGATTGTAAAATAAGTATTTTGCAAGCAGGAGTGGAATTGGATATATTGAACACACATGGGTTTATATACTGTATTTAGCCTGAACACTTTTCCTAAAGTATTTTGTTTTAAAAATAACCTGCCATTTTCTATAGATTTTAATTTTTTATATCTCCTAGGGTTCTATCGTGGTCACAGGGAGAGAATGTGGATTCTAATAGTGCTAACAATTTTAAAATGCTTTTGTAGAGACTTAGAGCTGTTTTGAAAAGCTTTGGAGCTTCCCAACCACTGGTCACAATAAGACTAAGCTCGTGGAATTTATGGTAGCATTCTGTAGTGGATTAGGTTCTAGATCCATCTCATAAGCATTTAAAACAGGTGTTTCCCAATTTTGGAGGGAAGGGGGATCCACTGCAGGCTTGCAAGCCTTTTTTCAAATCTCATACATGTACTCTCACCAAGATTCTGTTAAGCCTCTTCTGAATGACTTGTCTGAGATTCTGATACTCAGCATTCACTAGCATCATCTAGAGAACTTTTACAAATGCCTGGGTCCCACTCCCAAGCTTTTGATCTAACTAGTGTAGGGGCAGGTCCCAGGAATTGCCATACATTTTAAAGCTCGTGGGGGTTTCTAATTTGCGGTCAGAATTGAGAACCACTGTGCTACACCATCCCTATGGTGAGAATCACTGCCATGTGAAGCATTCAGGAGTGACTCAGACTCTGTTTCGTTGGAGAGGAAAGAAAAAAAAAAAAGAGTCAGAACCACTGATATTAACATCCTGTTTGAAATAAGGGAGCCTTTCTGATTTGAGACCCTATTTGGGTGCTTGGAGCCTTTGGTGGGTGGCCCAACACTTGCCAGTCGATTGGGATTCAGTGGTCTTCAGTTTGCTGGAGCAGACAGAGTCCCCTGTGGGGTGTGCATCCTTCCCAGGGCCTTTTCCCTGGATGCCACCACAGGGCCAGACCCACAGGGGAGTTGGGAAGTCACTCTGAGTTAGAAAATGCTGAAGTAAAGCCTTTGTGGCCTTGGAAAACCTGTTCCTGATTTTGATAGAATGACTATCTTTGTAGTAATTACAATAGCAAACTCCAGGCTGCCACCTAATTTCCTAGTTAGCTCATTCTCTACTTATCCGCAGTGTAATTTTAGGAGTTATTTTTAGTTTAAAAATGAATGTGAGACATTTTATTTGGAGTCTTTTTTTTTTTTTTTTTTGGTAACCCTCAATGTTTTTTCATGTAATTACAAAATATCAAATAATACTCATCCAAAAATTTGGCAGTATATGTTACCTATGGAGGCAAATGAAATTTAGTTTTAATCTGTGGTGAGCCGAAGGCACTTTAAACAACTTCAAAGTAGTCTGCTGTGTTTCTCAGGTGGTTTCATCCTGTTGAGCATGATGCTACCTACAAAAAAACAAAACAAAACAAAAAAAACACACAACTTACCTGGTGTTTTCAACATTTCAAGGAATAAAGATTTAAGTAAAAATCCAAGTTGGAAATCCCCCTGTAGAAAAGCCCCTTGAAGCAGAATGGCCTGTTGTGGTGAATTTGCAATGTGAAGTTGCCTACAGGTGCTATTCTAAGTGGTGCGGCATCCTCGTACCAGATGGGAAGGCAATTCCAGTGTTTGCTGAAGCTCACGTTCTCTCTGTCGGCCTTTCAAATGTGCGTTTGTGTTCCCTGTCAGTTTGCTCACCAACTGTGCCTCTCACCACTGGTTAAAATCGAATTCAAGCCCCATTACAAAAACAGTTTCTTCCCTGAATGCTTCAGTTTTACACTGGAATTTCTGCAGTTGTCTTAAAAGCTGCATGTCCCTGTCACTGTACACAGAATGCCTTGATATTGTTCATGCACCGTTCATAGTGATTTCTCTACCATTTTCTTCTTTAGTTGTACAGTAATACGGAAGGCAGGATGCCTTTCCTTGAGGCTGGAAGAAAAGTGTACCATACATTTTAAATTATTTTAGAAACAAGTGCATGAGTTGTGTCACTGACTTCTGTTATTTATTTGTATGTTTTATTATTCAAGGTGTATGCACTTTTAAGAAGCAAAATTTATATTTTTATGTTTAAAACATTTTATTTCTGGAACAGCAGTTGATTATATAGTATACAGTTGGAATTAAGAGAAAAGTGGAAACTGTAACAAAATATAATAAATTTATTACATGATGCCCTCCTTAAGCCATATTCCTCTTTCTCCCCTTGCCAACCTATGTCTTTTTGGTGTTGAGTAGCTTGGAAATTAAGCAGGAATTATCTTTGTACCACACTGATCTCTACAAAATACTTTAAAACCATAGTGTGAAGTGAAAACAAGTTACAGAAGAATACAGACAGGTACTCTATATGTAAAATTTTAAAACAAAAAAAAAATCACATCTATGCTTATTTTAATTTTCACAATCAGGGATTATTCCACTTTCTCTAAGAGGTAGTGTGTCCTGGGCCATGGGGTTGGGCAAGAACTCACAGTCTGGCTCAATTCCCGCAAAGGAGCCGTTCTTTTCTGGGCACTCTCTTGCCACAGATATCCTCGTTTTTAACCATATGTTCTGAAAAAATTTTTCCCAGTCTTTACCTCCTCTCAGGACAGGACTTCCTGTCGAGGATGTCACATTACTTATGACCACTTGGGGGCACCAAAGATCGCCATCGTCAAATGTAATTTAAAAGTCTAGTGTGTTCTTCGCCTCTCTGTTGACATGCTTATTCATTATGAGTTGAGTGCATTTTCAGCGAAGCAGGGGTTTCAGTTTAGATGGGTACCACCAGCCATCGTTTTTCATGGAAACTATTAAGTGCAGGTCATAGAGCAGCTCTTGTTTTCTAAAGCTCAGCAGGATGGTTTAGGATTAGGACAGGGAAACGGTTCCTAACCAAGGACAGGTGTGAACCACATGCCCTAAAACTGAGGTACAGCACTTACAAACCTCTCTAATTTTAAATAGTGAAGTTTTGTTTTAGTTTCCATAAAGAGTTTAACCATGTAATACACTGATTATTCAAGAGACTTCATTATGCCTGAAAGTATTTACGTGTCATAAAGTACATAGACTTAATAGTCATACAGATATTTACGATCATTTTGTCTGTCTCCATAGAATTTGGAAGATTATTTTCAAATATTTGAATGATCAGTATCTCCCTGTACACCAATCTGTCCTCTATCAGTCTTCCTGGAGAAAGCAGGGGCATGATAAACCCCTGGCCCTGGACCACATGTTCCTCTGGGCCCAGGGAATGATTCTAGGCCACTATAACTCCATAGGATGAGGCTTCGGCCTGTTCCCCAACCTCAGTGTCCCCTTTCTATTTCTGAGGCCCACTGCTAAGTTCTCCCAGGTGGTGGTTTTGGTTTTCCTTTTTGCGGCCCTGTTCTGAGTCTGAGGCATCTCCACGCTGGTCATCTGGTAGATCTCACCTCTCCAGGTAGGTTGGGTCTACCTCATGTAGAACCCTCTGGATTTCAGTCTTGATTTGGTCTGGTCTTAGCCATGTTTCTCACCCCCTGTCAACATTGGCTACACACAGAAAGGACAAGGGCTCTCTCCTAGAGTGATAGGTTTTTGTATCATGCCATATAGCCTGATGGCCTTGCACCTTATTTCTTCAAGAGTTCAGGGCTCTGATGTTAATCTGACTCGTTCTTTGTATTTACTACAGCTTGGTTTTTCTTAAAGTGGGAAGGTGTTGTGAGTTGTAGTCAGAATCAGGCCTCCCCGCCACTGGCAGGCTCTGCTGCGCCTTTCCTTTGCTTCAGAAAAATCCACAGAGGCCCACAGTATACAGACCCAGTCTCCAAGACTTGGATGGTGTCAGATTCGTCATCCCTTCAGAGAGTGGGAAGAGGAAGGCACATGTGGGGATGGTGCTGTGTGGCTGAGGATGGGTGGCGCCAGCTTCAGGGTTCCCAATCCACAAAAGGTTGTGGTGGAGAAAGTGTCCCTTTACTGTTGCACTCAAGATCGAAGTACAGATTCTTTTGTTTTGCAGTGCTTCCTGTATGCCAGAATGCTGGGGGTATGACCATGTCCGAGGAGCTCACGGTCTAGCCGGTGTCAAGTTGGTTGATAGATAATTAACATTTTGGTGCTTACTGCCGTGCCATTTACTCATTGCTCTTCCCTCAAGGCATCACCACGTTCCCATCCCTCTTCCAGCACATTTCCCGGAATTCTGCCTAGGAGGCTTGTCTCCAAGGTACCCACATGGCCCATCCTGTCATCTCCTTCATGTCTTTACTCAGATGTCACTGTCTCAGTGAGGCCTTCCCTGACCGTCCTTTTAAAACATTGCAACCTGCTTCATGTTCTCCCCCTTTCCTACCTTATTATATTCTTCATGTAACTTGTCACCAACTACCACAGTCTGTATGCAACATAATCTACAATATACAGGCAACATCGGTCTATCTGCAGTATATATGCAACGTAGAATATATGCAATGTAGTCGGTCTATATGCAGTAGTATAAGTGCTACCTCAGTCTATAAGCAATACGTACGCAGTGCATAGTCTGTATGCAATATATGTGCAACACAGAGTCTGTGTGCATACAGAGTACATAAGCTCACTTCTATAGCTTGTTTACCTGCTCTGTTCACCGCTCTTTCCCGGTACCTCAGAGAGTGCCAAGCATATTAGTACTTAGTAAAAATTGACTACCTGAATTAGTGGATTTGCTTGAGTAATCCACTTACCATTCTGAGTCCCCTTCCTATCTAGAAGATGAAGAACAGTACTTTCATCATGGAGTTGTGAGGGTTAAATAGGAAGGATGCCCATTATGTGTCGTCCGGCACAGTGCCTGGCATAGAGAAAGGGCCCAGGGAATAGTGCCATTCCTAATCATAGCGATAGGAATAGAGAGAGGGGCTGACCCTCATGGGAGCTTTACAGAGGAGGGGCCGTTGGAGCAAAGCTCATACCTTCCTGACGGGGGGAGCTGCTGGTACTTTCTGGAAACCCCAGGAATCAAAGTTTCCTGGAAGGTAGGGCAGGAATCAAACTTTCCTGGAATGTAGGGCAGGAAGGCAGGAAGCAGTAGATGGAGGGAGAAGGGAGGCCAGCAGAGGCCTCATCTGAAGGACCTTTCATGACTTAGGTCTGTCCTGAAGTAAATGAGAATCCAGGAAGAAATTTTAATTTAGGAGAGAGATGAGATCCAGTTTGTGCCTTAGCATGGTCACCATGGCAACAGTGTGGCACCAGTGAGCCCTGGTTAGGAGCTTGTTGCAGGAATCTAGGTGCAGTCTGTGGAATGCTGACCTAAAATAGTGTTGGGTGGACAGAGAGGACGGGGAGCTCCTGGAGGGGTGACGTGCTCCGGTCCCAGAGGTGGGCTGCTGGTTCAAATTCTGGTACCGTGACTTCCTAGCTGGACAGCCTTTGGCAGATTACTTAACTTCTCTGTGCCTCAAATTCTTCACCTGTAAAATGTGGCTGATAATGTCTACATGATCATTGGGAGGCTTAATTGGGGTGGTTGGTTTGTTTACACTTAATACATTGCATTAATTACAAGTGTATTTGATTTTATCTCCCATCTTACTATTCCTTTGATTTTTGTCCCACCTATTCTATGTTTCTTTTTCTCTTCTTTCTTGTCTTTTAGATCAGTCAAGCATTTTTTAAATTCCAGTTTTTTACCTCTATTAGCTTATTATTCATCCTCTTACTCTTTTTTTAAAGATTTTATTTATTTATTTGAGAGAGAGAATGAGAGAGAGAGAGAGAGCATGAGAGGGGGGAGGGTCAGAGGGAGAAGCAGACTCCCTGCTGAGCAGGAAGCCCGATGCGGGACTCGATCCCGGGACTCCAGGATCATGACCTGAGCCCAAGGCAGTCGCTTAACCAACTGAGCCACCCAGGCGCCCCCTCTTACTCTTTTTTTAGTGGCTGTCCTTGTGGTATCAGCATGCATTCCTGATTCAAAAGAGTCTAAGAAAACTTAGTAATTTTTGCCCCGTCAGGGTCTTAGAACACTTTGATTCCCATTTTACCCTTCCCACCATTTGTTACTGGTTGCTGTGCATTCCAATTCCATGTGTATTTAACATGTGTAGATACATAACACACGTAACTAAGATGATTACGAATGTTGAAAGCCAGTGTCCATTTAGATGTACCAGTACGTTCACCTTCCGTTTCTTGTCTTCCCCTCTGGTGTTCCAGTGTGTCTCCTGCAATCCTTTTCCTTCTGCCTGAAGAATTCCTTTCAGTCTTTCCTTTTTTTTTCAGCCTGTGCTAATGATGCACTCTCTTAGCTTCTGTTTGATTGAAAAGGTCTTTATTTTGCCTTTCCTTTTGGAGGGTATTTTCACTGGGAATAGAATTCTAGGTTGCAAGTTATTTTCTTTCCTTTTCATTCCATGGTCTTTTGCCATTATTATTTCTGTTGATAAGTCAGTTATTAATCTCATGGTTGTTCCTTTGAAGGTGTATTGCTGGGTTGTTTTTTTTCCTAAATGCTTTGAAGATGCTTTCTCTTTGTTTTTCACTGGTTTCATTTTTAAATGTGTTTTTATCCTGTACTTTATGAATCTGACCTGGAAACTTTTTTAGCCATTATCTCTTTAAATGTTGCTGCCTCTCCATCTTCCCAGCCCGTTTTAGGACTCAGTAATTGGCGTCACCATCCATCCCCGCTGCTCAGTCCAGACCAGGGATCCATCCTTGACTCTGGTCTTTCCCTCAACCCCCATCCTTACATCAGATCCATTCACAAGCCCTGTCCAGATCCACTTAAACGCAAGTAGGTCCTAAATCTGCCCTCTTCTCCAACCCCATCTTATATCATCCTTTCCTCACTTTCAGGCACAAAAGCCACCTCTTAGTGCCTTGACTGGAGGGTCTTATTTCCATTTTATGCATATATAGACTGAGGCACAGAGAGAGTAAATGACTTACGCAGGATCACACAGGTAATGAGTAATAGGTCTTGGATGTGAATTAGGCCTAATACTACAAGGCTTGTGTTTTTTCGCATTATTACTCCCAATTCCCTATATGATAGTAAATAAGGGAATTAAATAATCAACATATGGAATTGTGTTTAGCCATGCAGTTACTAGAAGGAGAATCTAGATTGTATAAAGTCCTTTTCTTTGTAATCTCTGAGTAATTATAGCAAATTCCAGAAGTGAGGAAAATTTCTGCTTTTTGGTAACAGAGTTTAGGAGAACCTCCTTGGCTCAATTTTTTTTTTTGAAACTAAAAAGTAATAATAATTTTAGACTCAGAGAAAAGTTGCAAAAAATCGTTCAGCTAATTCCCATATATTCTTCACCCAGCTTCCCTGAATATCAGCATATTGTGTAACCATAATACAATGTTCAAAACCAGAAACTAGCCTTGGTACAATACCATTAACTAAACTACAGACTTTATCTGGATTTCACGAGTTTTTCCACATCTGTCCAGTCTTAGGTCCTACAGTGCATTTAATTGTCATGTCTCCTTAGTTCCTCCAATCTGTGACAGGGCTTAGTCTTTTTTGACCTTGACAGTTTTGAAGAGCACTAGCTAATTATGTAGAATGTCCTTTTGTTTGGGTTTATCTCATGCATTGTCCCAATTAGATTGAGGTTTTGCATTTTTTGGCAAGAATATCACAAAAGCAATACGCCCTTCTCAGTGCATAGGGAGTACCTGATATTGATATGTCCTGTTACTGGTGATATCAGAATCTTGGTCATTTGGTTAAGGTGATGTTTTTGGGTTTCTCCACTATAAAATTACTGTTTGTCCCTTTGTACTTAATAAATGTCTTGGGAGAGATACTATTAGACCATGCAAATATCTCCTCAGACTTTGGCCAACTCCTCAAATTTTAGGATCCATCAGTGGATCTTGCCTGTGTCAGTTTTTATTACTGTGGCCTAATGGCAAAAGAAAAGACATTTTAGTAACCTGATTTCATAAGAAATCCAGAAGCAGAACAGGAGCAGGGGTTGGATCAGCACCTCATCAGTGTCATGAGGACCATGGTTCTGTCTGCCACAGTGGCCTTTGTCCCCAGAGTTGGCCTTCAGTGGCTGCCACAGTTGCGTAAACTTGAAAATGTCCAGCTGAAGAATGCAGGACCTGTCTCTCCCTAGGTCTCTTGACCAGTAAGAGAATATTTCCCAGAGACCATCCCCAGCCTCCTCTAAAAGTTCTTCCTTCTTGTTGACCAGGATCTTGGTCACCTGCTTATGACCAAGTTGCAAGAAAATCGAAGGAAGTATCTGACATTTCCTGCCAGTGTTTTGGAGGGTAGAGGGTGTGCTCTGGCAGAGAAGAAGACCGGGGTAGTGAGTTTGGCGAGACAGCCCAGCACCTGAGGCAGTGCCTTGCAACTAAATGTTTGTAAATCTCAATAAATCTTTGTGGAGTGAATGAGTTTCTTTGTCTCTTGCCTAGAGACATAATGGGCCATTACGTGGAAGCATTAGAGCTCTTGATTGTGGAATCAGAGAAGAGAATGACTTAGAGAGTGGATCAGAGGAACAGTGAGGACATCTCGGCAAGGATGGCAGAATGGCAAACATGGGTCCCTGGTGGGAGGGTCCCAGCTCTGCGACACCCTTAAGCTTCACTGTGCTTTGGTCTCCCCGAGGATGATGCACCTCTGGCCCCGTTGTTCCCTCTTCAAAACCTGGAGAGAGATGCATTTTTGAAAGAAGACAGAGAAACCTGTCTGCTAGACCCAATTGCCTCTACCCAAAAGTGTCTCTAGAGGCAAAAGGGCGCTGAGAGGAGATTCCTGCTCCATACACTCAGGCTCCTGGCTCTTGGGGCCTTGGGCACAGCCTGGTAGCTTGTTTGGTAAATAATGACATTGTTATAAATATTTAATAAGTCAAGGGACTGCAGCACATGCAAAATTGATGAGGTCCCTGTGTGGGAAATGCGGGCTTTTCTCTGTATGTGTGCTCTGGAGGAGGCAGTTAGAGGCTGATGTCTGCTCGGGCTGACACCTGTATTTGTGGTAGGGCTGATGAATGGCTGGAGGAATATTCGCCATATTTAGGAAGCATCAGTCCATCACGCTGGAGTTTAGGCTGAGGGAGGAATTCACGGCCATCAATATTCTCCGTGTTTATTAAGCACTGCGTGCTGCATGAGACAGTGAGTCCGACACCGGTCCTGGGAGCAGTGCCTCCAGAAAGGGCACGGTGGCTCCTTGATGAATGACTTTAATAAGAAGCAGCTTGGAAGTACCTTCAAGTAAGAAACTAATAATAATTAGGTGTTTCTTAATCATTTATTTATTTTATAATTTATGCCCTGCCTGCTCCCGGAAAAGGAATGGATGTGGCTCGCAATTAAAACACATCTACCCAGGATGGTTCAAATGAAGATAAACACGAGTTCAGAAACTGTATTGAGGGAGTGAATTTTTCTTAATCAACTTTGCTGCTACCCACCGAGAATATTGTATTCCTTCTGCTCAGCAGTCACCTTTTGCTCTGTGAAGCCACGGGATATGGCAGGTGTAAAGCAGCCCCTGGAGGTGTCGTGGGGACAGGAGGATGAGGCCGGAGCACGATGTGACCTGTAGTCTCAGCATCTCAGCACTGGGCTCCCAGTCACATTTGCATTTCATTTATCATTGCTCCAAACAAATCTGTGTGTCTGTGGCAGGGTGGCATGAAAAATTAATGCCCCTGTGTCAGGCAGAGCTTGTCAGAGTGACAGTGCAGAAAGGGGATAACAAAGGGGCAACATGTGTGGCAATTTCTACTTAACAACCACTCTTGTGTTCCCTGAACGCCTTCTCCCAAGCCTGTGGGTCGGGCGAATGGGGCTTCAGCAGCCAGCACCTGCCTAGGAGCTCAGCACAAAAAACCTGTCT